AGAAAATGCATAATGACCATGAAAACTAGTTTAATTTTTGGTTCATTTTTAAATGCACATTGTATTGCATACTTTTAGTCTAGATAATATCATATTTATACAGATAATTAGTGGTATAAAACCCCAGTTCATTTTCAGCCCCCAGATTTTCTAAACATTAGAAGAAGTGTTAAATTGGGGTTACTTTGATAAAGGTGAAGGTCAAAGTCAAGATTATTTTTTATATATTCATATAAAACACATTCAGAAAGCACTAAATCAAATGTACACTAACTTGTTGGAAAATAAATTTCCACCAAATATCGTACACACCAAATACATTTACAGTATATTATTATCACATTCTTTTCATTATTAACGAGCTTAGGTATATAATGTCTCAATGGCAATCATAGTGTCCTATAAATTGTAAATCCTTGGGTTATAATGGAAGGCAATGATTGAACTTACAGTTTCATATCTTATAATTGAAATAAATAGTTCAAGTACAGAATGCACAACATGAAACATAGCATGTAAAATATTTTACTTTAATATAAGATTCTAAAAATCTGACTATATATGATGTTGATACATACGCAGATAACAAGATAAAAGCTGATGTCTGATCAACATTTAGAAAATAATGTATTTCTATTGAATGTCCCATTTGTAATGTGTTAACTTATTGTCTCACATGATAAATCGGTTTTTTTTTTAACAAAATACAGTATTAAATATTCTGTGATAAAGCACCTTTTGTTGGTTATTACTGGCTTTTCTATCAGCACATTGCCATCTTACATCTTAGAGGAAAGGGGGGAGGGGTCTCTATATAATTTTCCCATCAACTAACAATATTTACATTTGCAAATGTTTTCTTTTATATCACACTATTAAAAGCAACGCATATCTATATCCATATAAACACGGGTTCCTCGCTTCATAAACGTTTGACGTAATTTCTCAGTGATGTCATAAAGGGTCGACGCACAATTAGTGGACCAAATACGTGCTATTACGTTTGAAAATAAAACATTTCACACAATAAAGAATATAATCAGGAAAATATAAAATATGAATGAGTCATAAATGTAAATATAAGTAATAATGTATCATTTTTAAACATCTATTTGGATATAAATACGGGTTGCTACGAGATCAAATTTACCATAAAACCCTTTGGGCATTATGGAATTTGATCTCATGACCAACCCATATTTACATCTCGATAGATGTTTAAAAATGATACATTATTTCTTAAATAAAATTTCATTGGGTCAGATTTTTGTGGTATGAGGAAAAATGACTGGTTCGAGGGGGATTTGATTTCATGGATAAAGGAGAAACATCCTGCTGTACGTGGTATCGAATTTTAACATTTCGTGGGGGGCATGATTTCATGGGTCTCTTCATACCATGAAAACTAGTCCCCACAAAAATCAGTGATATCACAGTATGCTGAAAGATATTGCAAGGGACAGCTTACATTTCTTCATTATAGTTATATTACAGGAGTCTGAAGTTTTTATTGCAAACAATTTTTTTTAAAAATTACTGAAAAAAATTTCCATCTTCTACTAAAATGTGGGTTTTTTTTTAGTAGAGGGTGAAATTTTTTTTTTTGACAATAAAAACTGCAGACTCCTTTGGTTTTACAAATATTCATATATCACACCATATGTAGATTGACACTCAGTGTAAACAAAGTGGACTGTGGCTTTGCTTATTTGAAAACTTATATAAGATAACAGAAAACCGTTATTTGAAAAAAAATGTTTGCTTTTAAAATCCAACAATCATAAGCACTTTTTATTAGCTCACCTGAGCCGAAGGCTCAAGTGAGCTTTTCTGATCACATTTTGTCTGTAGTCCGTCTGTCTGTCTGTCTGTATGTCTGTCTGTCTGTCTGTCCGTCCGTCCGTCTGTAAACTTTTCACATTTTCAACTTCTTCTCAAAAACCACTGGGCCAATTTCAACCAAACTTGCCACAAAGTATCCTTGGGTGAAGGGGATTCAAGTTTGTTCAAATGAAGGGCCACGCCCTCTTTCAAGGGGAGATAATAAAGAATTAGTGAAAAATTAAGTGCATCTTTTAAAAATCTTCTTCTCAAGAACCACAAAGCCAGGGAAGATGAAACTCATGTGGAAGCATCCTCAGGTAGTGTAGATTCAAGTTTGTTCAAATCATGACCCCCGGGGGTAGGGCGGGGCTACAGTGGAGGATCGAAGTTTTACATAGAAATATATAGGAAAAACCTTTAAAAATCTTCTTCTCAAGAACAGCAAAGCCATGATGAGTCATATTTATATGGAAGCATCCTCAGGTAGTGTAGATTCAAGTTTGTTTAAATCATGACACCCGGGGGTAGGGCGGGGCCACAATGGAGGATCAAAGTTTTACATAGAAATATATAGAAAAAATCTTTAAAAATCTTCTTCTCAATAACAGCAAAGCCATGATGAGTCATATTTATATGGAAGCATCCTCAGGTAGTGTAGATTCAAGTTTGTTCAAATCCTGACCCCTGGGGGTAGGGCGGGGCCACAATGGAGGATCAAAATTTTACATAGAAATATATAGGAAGAATCTTTAAAAATCTTCTTCTCAAGAACAGCAAAGCCCTAATTGGTCATATTTATATGAAAGCATCCTCAGGTAGTGTAGATTCAAGTTTGTTCAAATCCTGACCCCTGGGGGTAGGGCGGGGCCACAATGGAGGCTCAAAGTCTGACATAGAAATATATAGGAAAAATCTTTAAAAATCTTTTTCTCAGGAACAGCAAAGCCCTGATTGATCATATTTATGTGGAAGTATCCTCAGGTAGTGTAGATTCAAGTTTGTTCAAATCATGACTCCCTGGGGTAGGGTGGGGCCACAATGGAGGATAAAAGTCTGAAATAGAAATATATAGGAAGATATCTTCTGATGAAGAACTGCAAAGCCATGATTTGTCATTTTGATATGGAAGCATCCTCAGGTAGTGTAGATTCAAGTTTGTTAAAATGATGACCCCAGGGGATAGGGATGGGCCATAATGGGGGATCGAAAATTTTACATAGGAACATATAGGAAAATTTCTTCTTCTCAAGAAATGAAAATCATGTTTAGTCATTTTGATATGGAAGCATCCTCAGGTAGTGGAAATTCAATTTTGTTCAAATGATGATCCCCGAGGGTAGGGTGGGGCCCAATAGGGGGATCGAAAGTTTTACATAAGAACATATAGAAAAAAATTTCTTCTCAAGAACAGAAAAGCTATGTTAAGTCATATTGATATGGAAGCATCCTCAGGAAGTGTAGATTCAAGTTTGTTCAAATGATGACCCCTGGGATAGGGAGGAGCCACAATGGGTGATCAAATTTTACAAAAGAATATATGGGAATTTTTTTTAAAAATCCTTTCAAGTACAACAAAGCCATTTGTTATATTGACATGAAAGCATCATCAGGTAGTTTAAAATTCAAGCCCCCCCCCCCCCCCCTACCCCCGTAATCTTTTCAATACTGAACTGATTTGTGCTTTTGCCTTGCCAATGTGCTCAGGTGAGCGATGCCGCCCATGGGCCTCTTGTTTATTTTTATTTCCAAGATGATTGGGGACAGATTTGTTTTTCTTCACTGGAAAAAAAGTTTGAGAAGGTGGTACATATTGAAACTGTTTGCATGTTGTTTGCTGGTCTGATAAAACTCAATCCTTTATTTTACTAGTGCTTTATAGTTAGAATATTGGTCAGGCAGCATGGGCATTTCTCTTGATAAGTCCGGTTTCCGTGTAAGATTTTCCGGTTAAAAACTTATTTTCCAATCAACCATAATTAAATTTTGTTTATGCCTGTATATATTTATTTGATCTATTTTTTTTCAGCCAACTTGATGGTACATTCTGGTATGGGACCATCCCATGTAGTAAATTTTCTCAGTACCTTTAACACCACATGGTGTCACCACATTGAAGAAAAAGAGATGTCGGCCTCTATTGTGGAACCAGGCCAAGGAATCTTGTTGGATAGATAGAGACGAAGAATGCTAAACCGGACCAGTTGGAATGTAGATTTGATGCTGGATAGCAGACCAAGGGGTCTTGCTGTTAGTATAAAAGTGATACTGGTAAAGTCATCATTTGAATTTTGTTATGCCAAATTTGATAAGTGTAGAAAATTGGCAATTTATGGGGTGTAAACTTCTGCAAGTTATACATGTATATATACATGTACATGTTCACTGAAATGCTATATATAGGATATAGACATTTTGGGGAATATATTTTGATGTGGACTTCAGATAATAATGTTAAATTTTATATTTCAGATAATTTTAACAAGTAAGGTCTATAAGATATATGAATGTGAGGTCCAGACCATTCATGCTGATAATGATTCAACTACTGCAGCTCCACTCAAGAATGACTTTCCATCTCTTCCAAAAAAGCAGGACAAGAATCACTTGATGAAACTGAACTAACATATACTACTTTTCTTGTCAATTTCATATTATCTCTTGTTTGAGTGTTACATCTGAAGTGGTAACAGACACTCCACATATAGACTTTTATTAGCTCACCTGAGCCAAAGGCTCAAGTGAGCTTTTCTGATCACATTTTGTCTGGCGTCCGTCTGTCTGTCTGTCTGTAAACTTTTCACATTTTCGACTTCTTCTCAAGCACCACTGGACCAATTTCAACCAAACTTGCCACAAAGTATCCCTGGGTGAAGGGGATTCAAGTTTATCAAATGAAGGGCCACGCCCTCTTTCAAGGGGAGATAATTAAGAATTAGTGAAATGAATAGCATCTTTAAAAAATCTTCTTCTCAAGAACCACAGGGCCAAGAAAAATGAAACTCATGTGGAAACATCCTCAGGTAGAATAGATTCAAGTTTGTTTAGATCATGACCCCCGGGGTAGGACAGGGCCACAATGGAGGATCAAAGTTATACATAGAAACATATAGGAAAAATCTTCTTCTTAAGAATAGCAAACCCATGATAAGTCATATTTATATGGAAGCATTCTCAGGTAGTATAGATTCAAGTATGTTCAAATCATGACCCCCGGGGGTAGGGAGGGACCACAATGGAGAATAAAAGTTTTACATAGAAATATATAGGAAAAATCTTTAAAAATTTTCTTCTCAAGAACAGCAAAGCCATGATGAGTCATATTTATATGGAAGCATCCTCGGGTAGTGTAGATTCAAGTTTGTTCAAATGATGACCCCTGGAATAGGGAGGAGCCACAATGGGGGATCAAATTTTTACAAAGGAATAAATGGCAATTTTTTTAAAAAAATCTTCTCATGTAAAACAGAGCCATTTGTTATATTGACATGGAAGCATCATCAGGTAGTTTAAAATTCAAGCCCCCTCCCCCCCTTAATCTTTTCAATACTGAACTGATTTGTGCTTTTGCCTAGCAATTGTGCTCAGGTGAGCGATGTGGCCCATGGGCCTCTTGTTTACCTACAAGTTTATCCAAAATTTAGAAGATACAAGTAGATCATCCACCATGATACTGTGGTATCATATTTAGTGCAGTATGTCCTTAAATTTGTATGCATGATACACTAAGGGTTAAACATTTATTAATTTAAACCTATCTAACAACTATCTTGACTAATGAGGGATTCCAATCTACTCCTCTATGAAATAAAGGAGGAGGGATCGGATCCCTTGCCTGCTAAAGATTTGTTATTTCCCTTGTAGAGATTTGTTATTTCTTATTTCCCAGGTAAAGATTTGTTATTTCCCTGGTAAAGAATTGTTATTTCCCCGGTAAAGATTTGTTATTTCTTATTTCCCAGGTAAAGATTTGTTATTTCTTATTTCCCAGGTAAAGATTTGTTATTTCCCCGGTAAAGATTTGTTATTTCCCCGGTAAAGATTTGTTATATCCTGGTAAAGATTTGTTATTTCCCTGCTAGAGATGTTATTTTGCTGGTAAAGATTTGTTTTTTCCCTGGTAAAGATTTGTTATTTCCCTGCTAGAGATTTGTTATTTCCCTGGTAATGATTTGTTTATTTCCCAGGTAAGATATGTTATTTCCCTCGGAAAGATTTGTTATTTACCTGGTAAAGAATTGTTATTTTCCCGGTAAAGATTTGTTATTTCCCTGCTAGAGATGTTATTTCCCTGGTAAAGATTTGTTATTTCCCTTGGAAAGATTTGTTATTTACCTGGTAAAGATTTGTTATTTCCCCGATGAAGACTTGTTATTTCCCTCAGCTGGTAAAGATTTGTTATTTCCCATGTAAAGATTTGTTATTTCCCTGGTAAAGATTTTTAAGTTATTTCCCGGGGAAAGATTTGTTATTTCATATTTCCCTGGTAAAGATTTGTTATTTCCCAGGTAAAGATTTGTTATTTCCCTCGGAAAGATTTGTTATTTACCTGGTGAAGATTTGTTATTTCCCTGGTAAAGATTAGTATTGGAGGTAATATTTGAAATTCTAATTACAGTAGGTATCTTTGTTATTTAAGTACTGTTAATATAACCAGTGATTAGATTTTAATTTTACAAAGCACTAAATCAAACAAGAGGTGTGTATACTATATATATAGAATAAAAACCATATACAGTCAAACCCCATTATCTTGAACTTGATGGGACCAAGAAAAAACTTTGAGATATCTGTGAGTTTGAGATATTGATGTTGAAATACATAAAGAAAAAGTGGTAGGAACTTCCAACTCACTTTGACATATCCATTGTATTCAAGATATTGATGTCTGAGATACTGAAGTTCAACTGTATATTCAATTTTACATCCATGCACAGTCAATTCAATGTTGTGAATCCATTCTTAGTGACTGCTTTCTATTTCTCAAAGAAAACAGAATACATTGTAATCTCTTCAAAAATTTAATACTTTTCAACTTTAACAAATCTGTACATTATTATGTCCTTAATAGTGAAAATCCCACAGAAAATATAGATATTAATTAAAGGTCACAGATCTGACAAATGAAAGGAGAGAATTCAACAAGAAAATAAATCTTAAAAAGAAGAAATAAACTGACAAAACGTCTGCAAACATAAAAATTTCCTGTCTTTGAAAATGGAATACATTTTATGGAATGACTAATTCAAAAGAAAACAATTATTGTTGGAAGTATGTTAAAGAAAATGAAAACATGGACAGCACTAAATTAACAAGTGGAACAGTCCAAACACTGCAGATAAAGCATATTGAGAAGAAGGAGAATTATAAAAACTGTATAAGCTTCTGAATACAGGAATGTAACATTGTAAATTAACTTAGTGACAGAAACATTTCCAAATGTTATTTGTACAAAGATATAACTCTCATTTAATGTGTCAATGACATTAATTTAATTCTGAATTAAGCAAATAGTCCATAAATATACATTTTATAATAACTGAACAATAATTAAGTTCTGGAATGTACAGTCTATAATTAAAGGCAAATATAATCTCAACAAAAATATTTGAAATCCACTTTCAACAAGTTCTGAATGTTCCAGATGAAAGACACAAAACAAAAAAATATAATAATCTGTTTTTGCCATACACAATAATAATAAATACACAATCACGCACAGTACTGCAAAGACCAGATTAAATATGAATAATCATGTCACAAAATATGAAAAATAAACATAAGAAGCACTTAACAAAAACAAATAGAACTCTGTGATAAAATTGAGCATTTTTTTAACAGTCACTTACACAAATGTCATGGTCCCTTCTAGTTCCCAATGAAAGCCCACGTGGTTCTAACTCACAATGGTAACGGCAATAATACAAGGGGGATACAACACTGATATCCAGATCTATTACATGAAAAGTCAAAAATAGGACTATATTCTTATATATGAGCATTAAAGATAAGAATTAATTAGGTCTGAATACTAAACCGGTTAAATGTGTTTCAAATTGAATACAACTTAGGGATTAACTCAAATTTTTATTTCATTAATAGCTGCTATGGATTTTCCATGCACTGTCAAAGTTTAATAAGAACAGAAAGAAACATGAAATTAAAAAAAGGGTTTAGATACTGCACTACAAAACTTTGAAATGAAAAAAAAACCTATGCTGATTACTTCTCTGAATAGTCACTTTTATAGTTTCATTAGGCTAGGTTGCCATTGATACTGTGTAACATTTTCTGTACAAGACTACTTGGGGAAAAACAGAAATACTACTATGTGTAAATAGAATAATTTCTAAATCATAACAAGAAAATAAATTATATCTTTGAGATTCTATCAACATAATCTGTAACATATAAGAAAATTATTTCATGTCCAAATATTAAGGCTTAAACTTCTAGTACAATAATGAGTTACCTCCCTCTACAAAGACTAGGCAATATATATAAGAAAATCACAGACTCCTTGTCTGAACTCAAGGCAGTATACAGGAATGTGTCTTAATTCTGACAAAATATTAACAACAAAGAAAATAGAGTGACATTCAACGAGGTCTTTAGAAAAATACAAAAACTCTTGTAATGAAACGTTGAACAATTCTGGTTCTCTCTCAAAGTCTATTTCTCTCACTAAGTCTGGTTCTCTCACTTAGTCTGGTTCTCTCACTTGGTTGGAGATATAGGTTCCTCTTTGACTGTGACTGGTATGCCATCAGAAGGTGAAGTCAGACCTTTTTGATTTGGAGAATTTGAATTTTCTTCCTCTACAGACATGTCTGCTTTTGATTCTCTAAATGGAACAAATCCTTTAGCCATGGCAGCATGCATGCTGGACAGTGACCCTATATCCATGGGCTCACTCATAGAAGAGTCCATTTCCTGGTCTTCGTCCCCAACGGTGAACCCCCAGTGAGACTGCTTCATGTGCTTGTTAAGTTCGTATTTGCGGACAAAGTCCTTTCCACAGAGGGAACAGATGTGTGGTCTGTCCTGGGTATGAATGCTCTGGACATGACGTTTCAGGTGATCTGAGCGACTGAATCTCTTGTTGCACACTTTACATTCATGTGGTTTAATGCCAGTGTGGATGGACAAATGGCGTTTCAGGTGGATATTTTTAGCAAACGCCACTCCACATGTGGGGCAAATAAAAGGCTTTTCTCCAGTGTGTGTACGGAGGTGTGTTTTTAGAACAGACGGACTGGTGAAAGTTTTATCACAAGTGTTACACGAGTAGGTCTTGTCATCAGAGTGTTTCTTCATGTGAGTGTGCAAGTTTGATTTTGTGCTGTAGGTTTTTCCACAGACATTGCAGGGAAAGTGAGAATGTGTTTCATAATGTCTGCTGAGAGAGTCTTTATCCAGGTAACTTTTTCCACACACAGGACAGATGAACTTCATGTCACTCCCGTCGATTGTCCCACTGGTCACGGTGATGAGGAGAGGATTGGTGGGTTGCTGGACACGATTAGGGGTGGGAGATCGGGTGTATCTCTGACCAAAACTTGGACTGTCCAATCCTCGGGCCCTCATGTACTGGTCAAAATATGATCCACCTGAATCATCAGTGTTGTTAAGATAACTGGTTAAACTACTGCTAAAGTCCAAGGACTTGTTGGCATTCATCTTTATATAATCTTCATATGGACTGAAGGATCTTGGAGGTGGGGTTGAGAATTTTGTAGGGGTAGGGCTGTAAGATAAAGAATTAGGGCTCTCACTTTTGTTGGACTGTCCATTAGATTTGAGGGTAGAGTTTGGGGTGGGGGATATGTTTTCCTTTTTTATGTAGACCTTATGGCTCTTGGCATGGTCTTCCATTTCTGCTTTTGTGTCAAATTCTTCAGCACACTCAAAGCACATGTAGTTCTCCTCCTTGCCATTCATTCCTGTGGTTGTAGGGTTAGCCCCCTGGGATCTGTTTTCCTGTGGAGAATTGCTGTTGTCACTTGCTGTTTTTTCAGAATTTTTATTTGATCCCACACCATTTTCTGGAAAGATAAGATAGAAAAATAAAATCATTTCTACAAACACCCATTTTAAAATAAAATAACATACTAAGAATAACTTGTCAGAACAACTTGATTTTCATTCATTATTTCTAAGTATAAGTTGTCTTTATGTCTTAATTGGCAATTAAATTTTTGATGCACTTTTCATGTCGATCAGAAAATGAACTGTTACAGATTATAGTACTGGTGTTTATATTTTTTATAACATTCATTTAAGTAACGATTTATCTGAGTCTTTCATTCCTTCATAAGACAGAGAAGAAACTGTGACACCAAAATACTTGTCCACTAGAAGACCTTGCTAAGCAATTTACAATTATCCCTCAACAATGCAGTAAAAAAACACAGCCTCTAGTGAGAAACAAGTCAATGTGCAGCTTATACTGTTACACAAAAAACTGCACATCCATATATATTGCTATGAGCCTTGATTTTCATGAGTAGTCGGACAAGAAATGTGAAATCTAAAAAGGTGGGCAGGATTGATTTTTTGTTCAGAGACAAATATTTCAATGTCGAGTTGACACAGCTCATCAGAAGTGATATTTCTGTTTTAATGCCATCTACAATTACATCTGATCGAGGCTTTTGTCGTGTGAGGTGTCTGTGGCCTGTCATACTAGCCAATTAGGAGTATTAATGATGTGTGGTATAAGAGGTACTGATTTCTCATCAAGACAATTATATGAATGTACACTCTTAATGAGAATCTTAATAAACAGTGATTGATCCATAACAATATAGAAATCTTAACTATTAATGAATCTCTGTTTATCCTGTTAATATAAAGGTTTTATAAATAAATTCATTACCAGTAGGTGACCGTGGGGACCTATCTGAGGAATACATAGAATTTCTTTCTGAATTTTCATTGTGGGTAACCTGACGTAAGGGGATTTTAAGTCCCTTTCTCTTTGAAACTTTCACTTGCGTACCCTGAATTTCCCCTCCATTCTCCAGCAACTCATACGGAATAAAGTCCTCAAGCTTCGGTGCAAGGTTTGGAAACTTCTTGATGATCTGTAAAATAAAATATTATCAAAATGCATTTTCAAATGCTAAAATTTTTTCTTTTTATTTTTATGTAATACCTGTATACAATTAAAAGATTTCTTTTCAAGTTATATTTTTTAAAATATGTGATCATACATCAGATTTCAGGTTACAAGTGTAACATGTAGGCTTCAACATATCTCATTTCCTTTCAGATTATCATATTACATTGCGAGTTGTTGTGTTTGGCAATAATAGCTTCCTATCTGTATAAAAATACCCCAAGTGTAGTAACTACAAGCTAGTTTATTTTTATCAACTGAAAGATGCCAGGCAAAATTATCACTTTTTCACAGACAGGGAGATAAAAATCAAGATATTTTTTTTCCAAATCTGATACTTATATTCCTTAATATTAACTGAATTTAATATTTCTTAATATATACTGAATCCACTTTATTGATTTTATATCAGAAACTTCCTACATATTATCAATATAGTGTATATTCAAGGAACTTTTAAGACGAGTGAACTTTGTATCTATAGAAGCACACTTGGAGGACAGTGCCCCTATTTATCATTCTGGACTACATCCTACTGCCTGTCTGTGTTACATGTATACAGATACAATTCCTTGATCACATCCCTCTCTTGTTGTCGATGTCGGAGTTAGCTTCATGCAAACAACAAACAGCCCTCCTAGATATTCAACTGAGAAACTGTAAAATACTCCCTGACTTCACCATTGGCAGGGCTAATAACAGTAGACTTCTCCTTCACATCATCCTACAGGGAATATTTTATATTATCCTTTTTGGACTGATGCCATTGTCAGTATAAATATTTGCGTAAAAACTGCATGTATATTTTGTATATGTTGCTATACTTTTCCTTCAAATTGAACCCTTGAAATCTGATTTTGACTGAACGTACCAATTTATTCACATTTTTAAAAAAAATTAATTTATATATTCTTAATTCTCCAAATATGTCATATTTCTTTACTTATATGAGTATACTCCCATCATTTGAATTGTAATTATTATATATGTCTTTTATCATCATGGGAAAAAAACTTAATTGCTAAAAAATCTATTTTTTAAATTAAATTTTCTCAATGTTAAGAATTACTTAATGAGGATTTTAACACTTAAGTGTCACAAGCCACTGCGCAAATAACACACAATTACCCTTCAAAAGCTAGTGGATAGAAAGTTCACAATTTGGGGGGCTGAATATAGGTATAAAAATTAAAACCTCCTTTTGCCAAATTTTTTTCCCCTATTTAAACTCTCCATTGTATCGACAGCATTACCTTGCTGTAATATCTTATGAGGAATGTTTTTTCAATCCCCACATTTTGATTCAGCCAGGTGTGACCAAGTAGATCTTAACAGAGCATGTCCTTCAGGGGAAAAAAAACTCTGTCTAGATAAACGGGAGGAAATGAGCGACGACGTGGAATTATATGCATACCATCCAAGTGATATAATTACCTACTATTGCCCGAGGCATTACAGTGTTCTACCTGGCTGGCATTTGAGGGAGAGACGAAACTAACTCAATCCCTGACAATGTCAACAGGGACCTTTAATTCTGTGTCTACCCCCCAGCTATACATTTAACTGTTTTACTACCGCTTGGCTGAGCGGAGGGAATAAAACGATCAGATTAATTCTCCAGATCTCTCCGTACATTTCTATAGCTGGAGGGAGTACAAGTTTGTAAATGTACGACACAGATGGGGGTTTGTCATGTCTAAGCCTTGCCTGGGATCCAAGCACCTGAATGCCACTATAATGAATTTAATATTCCAATGATACTGTAAAAATATGATAATTACTGCCTATTAATGAATCTAGTTTAAATAAAACTTTCAGCAACACCTTCTTGGGAGATGATTAACCCATATTTTCCATACATTATTCTGATTTAATGTCCTCCCCAAAAGCAAACACTCTGGAATGTTCATTTGAGAGAAAAATTCATAAATTGTATATATTTGACTATTGTGAGGTTTATATATATACATCGGTAGAAGATACAGACATGCTCCATATTGCTTATGTACCGTCTTGACTGGGTTATTGGGAATTAGACAACACTTACTTGGGATCCATAGATTTGTCGTTCATCAATGGCAGCAATAAACCAGCACTTAATGGCATGAAGAACTTGGTCATTAGAGAGTCCTGTGTCCCCCAAACGCTTTAAATGGGGCATTGCCTCCCAAAACTCCAAGTCCAGGAAACAGTCCTCCTCCAGTATCTGAGAATATAGAGAAATTATATCTTGTTATTACTGTAAAAACAATACCAGAGTTCATTTGTTAAATTACTGATACCAGGCTATTTGAATTGTACTAAAATATACTCAGTCTTAATGATACAGTATTAAAAGTGAAAAATGGAGAAAATTTTATTTGGAACTTTCTGGGTATTTGAAACAGAGCCTAGATGCTGAAGACAAAGAGTCTAAAATAGGTGAAGACAAAGAGTCTACAATAGGTGAAGACAAAGAGTCTACAATAGGTGAGTTTAACAGATAACATGGGAACATTTAGTGATTATACCTTTTCAAAATTCTCTTTGATAAAGTCTGTGCTCTCCTTTAGAAGGTTAGAGGCAAGGCATTCCGTGGCAATCTGATGAATTTTTAAACAATTCTCAATGTCTAATACTGAAAGCAGAAAGTTGCTGCACAAGCTCTGAATCTCAGCAACATGCAACTTAGCAGCTGCCGGTAACAGTGTCCACACAGTTTCCTCGTTAACTGATACGGTGGCTGTGTAGAAGAAATCAACGATTGTTTGTACTGCCTCCCCCTCAATTCCTTTCAATGGATGTTCATAAAGCCCTGGTTCCATGTAGTATCTAGTATTCATAAGGCCTTTAAAGTATGGGGAATTGACGGAGAGCACCAACTTATGGGCGAATATTCTGGTTTCATTGCACCTGAGGATGATGTCACACAGTTCTCTTCGGTTTCTTAGCTGGTTAATTTGTTCAATGGCCTGATGTGCGTGGTTTACAGAGGTGTAATGCATTGTCTTCTCCATGTTGGCTGATATGTTGGATTATCTTCTCACAATTTATACCTCGGTGTCAGAAATATCTCTCCTTCCTCACTCATTCTACAATACAACAATTTTATACAAATGTAGTTTACCCACATCCCATCTTATCTGTGTTAAAGCTAAATAATACATCCATTTAAATCCTTAAACTTCATTCAGTAGGTATAAAGATATCATAAATATTGTGAAAATGTTTCTAAATATTTAATATTTTTACCTTCTAAAACATTTTATCATTCTAGATTCAATTAAAACTCTCCAAACATTTTTTTAAAAAAAGATAAATCTTTCTAAAATGGACTAAGAATTTATGTACAGTAACAGATTTCATCAAGGTAAAATAATACTTACACATTTTTATCCTATAACCATGATAAGCAGCATTGATAATTACCAAATAAAACTATTATATCTAGGAAGGTCAAAATCATAAAAATTCAATAGACAGACAAAATCAGCTCCTTCTTCAATGCCTGAAGTGGAGAAAATGTGCTCTGATTTATGACATGTACCCTCTATATACCTTGTACAGGTATAATTATGTTGAAGAAAAGCTTACCCCAAAATAAGCACAGACCTGGGCCCCGGGGCTAATTCTCTGAGGTAATCTAGCATAGACAGCTGACAAGCTCCAGGTCAAACAGTCAAGACGAGGTGATAATTATGAATGTAATTAATTCCTATTGATTAAGTGACATATTACTCCTAGTTTACATAATCATGATGGTGACAGGTATGATGAATACTATAGAGAGGGAAAAATTTTAACTTCATAGATTTAATCAAAGGCATGAAATCTTGTTTATTCTTAAGAGTAACAAATATATGATTGTCCACATTTAAAAATATCTTCCTTGAATACTTTAATGAAAATTCTCTTTAATCTTAATGAAGGATGTCAGAGGAAAAAAATATATATCCTTTTCATAAAAAAATCTCTTGTTGATGGTTTCTCATTTAACATGTTTTAAACCTGTGACCAAAACACAACTGTTAAAATTTCCAATTTAAATGTATCAAGAGAACCCAAGAAATTCCATTTCATGGTAAGCATACAAAAATAGAAATTTTTCCTCCCAGTAAAGACATACTAATAGCCCCTTTATGCTGTCAGCTACCTGTTAAAGACCTTTGAATTAACATTTGGCTTGGCTACAGTAATTCTGACATTGTTCTCTCATAAGGCCAGATTTGCATACTCTAAATACTACCTTCTTTTTAAAATATTAATTGCCCCAGTGCATGCATTAAAACATACTCCAAGTGTTTTCTAAAAATTCGCCTGTCATTACGAGTTATCCAAACCCCCATAAATTACAGAGTATATGTTATGTAATACACCTGCAATTATCCTTATAATGATTACACGGGAGACATGACACACTTTTTGTATGCAACAATTAGATTATATGGAGAATTAAAATAAATAAACTTATAACTTAAAAATATTTTTCTGCGATAAGAAATTTATATGTAAATGATATTATCTGAATAACCGTGAAGTCTAGTAGACGTATCACAAAACAAAATCATGTATATCGAGAATACTTATATACAACACTGTACAACAGTTGATGAACATTCATTCAACTAGGCATATTACTTTTTCAAGATGTGAAAACCCTCACGATGCATAGATACAAATCATTTAGCGCGTCAGACATTTCATAGGATATATATATTATTTATAGAGGTTTTCAATTCGCCGAACTCGCCATAGAATTTATTTCCCCATAAGGCTAGAAATCCCCCTCAGTTTAAAAATACTTCATACAGTAAACTGGACAGAGAGTTGAATAAAGCAGTAGCACAATTACCTGTACTTATGATGTTGTCTCATGTCATCGCTCCATGACTGGTGGGAAAGTAAACATACGGTCCGACACCCACCTGTACAGCGGGAGGGAAATTCAGCGGAAATGCTTCGCTACGTTGTGAGGAGGATATCCCATTTGCGTACTACGTCATAACTTTTGCTTAAAGAGGAGTGGAATCCCTGCTTCTTGCCTGCATTGTAGTTGGTGAAATAAACTGTGAATGATTAAGTTACACTAAAACTTTCAGATTTTTTATGTGTTCTATGCTCACTATCACTTTGTGAAGCCAATGCTTTTCATCAGTATGAAGCAAATAAACACAACTGTTTACAAACAACATGTGCTCGCTGAAATCGAAAGTGAAAGTTAGCAGCTGTCAAAACATCTTGTACGTGAAATTGTCCATATTTCGTCTTCAGGACATTTTTTCTATTCTACAATGGAACCATTGATCCATTTGTAATTTTACACATAATTTTTTTTATATATGCAGTAATAGACTTTTTTCGTCAATGGTTTGGATGTCATTATTCTGTAAAATAATTAAAAAAAAAAAATTCATTGCCTGGAACTTATTTATTTATTTATTTATTTATTTATTTATTTATTTATTTATTTATTTATTTATTTATTTATTTATTTATTTATTTATTTATTTATTTATTTATTTAAGTAGACATTGTATTATATAAAATTGTTCAACACATGTGTTTGATGTTTGATATTGCAACATATTATTTTCATGAATTTACTAATCCTTTGGAACCGTTGACCACTTTCCACTACAATGCACAATTCAAAAATTTTAACATAAATTATATATCCATACGTTATGACATTTTTCAAAAATGTGTTTCTTTCTACGTTTTCATTAAAATAACATGAAAGACAGGCCCGTAGAAAGCGGGGGGGGGGGGAGGGGGGAGGGGAGCTCTCCCCTTTTTTTCTTTTTTCTCAGTATAGTTTTTGCTATAGTAAATTTCCCTTTAGAAGCCCCCCCCCCCCACCACCACCACCACTTTTTAATGTTGTAAGACCGAACACAGGCAAATTCCAGGATTTGAACAGTTAATGAGCTTCTTTTTTTTTTTTTTTTTTTTGCTTGTCAGATTTTTTTGGGGGAAGTTGCCCCCCCCCCCCCCCCCCAACACACACACACTTTTGAATCCGTTGCTACGGGCCTGAAGAACAAAATCATATATTATAGTTACGATTTAGACCTATCGTCATATTTAATATTGTATGTTTATTACATTTAATTTTTTTTTCAGAAATAAAATAACAGACTACAAAAAAATTTAGTTTTTGAATCTTCTCATGAAGATATTAATATATCTTTTTAATAAATGCAATCAATAAATATACAAGGATTTTTAGTATGGAATTAACAAGGGCGCTTAACAGCAGCTCATTTTATCTTCATGTCTTCTTATCCTCTTTCTATCCCTTTTCTGAATTTTTCTTGTTTTTTTCTTCACCTTGCATCAATTGATTGTAGATCTGGAACATACATGATCCAGACTAAAAAGGAAACACTAGATGTATACCATAATACTTCACTCTATCTGACGGATGTATAAAACAAGAAAGGAAAATATCAGCAGATATACATGTTTAATTGGATTTCACTTCAGAGCGTATCTTTATCTCTCAGTTTCACTAAAAAATAAATCTTTCTCTCTTCGTCTTCTTACAAGTGGTACATATGTGGGGTAAAAGAACGCTGTGGGGTTAATTTCACACTGGGAGGTTTAGGGAACGTCTAATTAAATAATTGAAGATATTTTTAATTATTCAGTTGAAGATATTAATTCCATTATTTTACTTTTGTTTTGTTTTGGATGCGGGTATCAATTCTTTCACAGAGATCAACTCATAATCTGAATTATGGAATATGGTAAATTGTTGCGCACAATAAATTGAATTTATGATATCATTATTTCAAATGAAGTAAACAATATTTATGCGCGCAACAATTCAATTAAGAATATTTTCAAATAATTAACGATATATTCAATTCTGAATTCTGGCGCTCATTATATAAATAGTTGATATCACTAATTAATTTGCTGACTTGTTGAATTAACCTGATGCATGTAAGATCAGTTCGATTTGAACATATTTTATTATGTAATAAATACATAAATGGATTGGGCAGCAGGCATAGCCCATAAATAAGCCCTCTCCACAGGTACAAGGTTAATTAAAATATACATATTACTACATATAAATACAGGTTCATATCACCCATAAGTTATAGTTAAGTAACACAAAATTGAATGGAAATTAGGAGAAAAAAAATAAATAAAAAAATAAGAGTGGAAAAAATCAAATGAATACCGGTTTATGTGAAAATGAGACAAAAAACTGAAAAATGTGTGAATTACAACAATTTATATAAAATACAATGAATGTGTATTTGATTTAAACAAGAAACAAATATTTCATAATTTCACATCATTTATGAAACCTTTTGGTTTGTGAAATATAATTAAGATCACAATCAAACAATTTCGTATTTTTTGCATAAGGAATATTACTATAACCAAATAACAATAGATTTAGAGATACAGGGATACTGGGTGTTGCAGGTCTATACTAGATATACAATTAAAAAGAGTATTTATTTGCTCGACATAACATGGACACTAGATAAGAAAAAATGATACACATTTTCAGTATGAAATCCACAGTTTTCACATTTGGAACTTTCACTTATATAATATTTCTGTAAATCAGCATTTAAACTACTAGCATTATTTCTTTATTGACAATGAATAATATTTTGACTACGATTTCCATGATTAAACAGCTTATTGGGAGTTCTGTAATAAACCTTTTTAATGGCATTAGTGAATGAAGATAGAGTTGGTAAATTTCTAATATGATATGGTAAATTATTCCAAAGTTTAATTGTAGATGGGAAATAACTATTCATATATGATGTGGTTCTAGTTTGAGGAATAAGAAAAGTAAGACCATCATTGTGTCTTAAGGAATATGGGGTGTGGGGTGGAATACAAGGTTTTAGTAGATCTTGAAGGTATTGTGGTGTTATCCCATACACTATCTTGTAAAATAATATTAATTTATATACTTTCCTTCTGTCAGATAATGTATTCCAACCCAGTTCATCATATAAAAATGTTCTTATTGAGTTGCTAAGACCAGTTGAATATACATGTACAGCACATAGTTGAATTAATTTCTGAGAGCAATAATTCAACTGATGCATGCATTTATTATAATTGATATCTTCAAATAATTAACGATATCTTCAATCATTTGAGTTTATGTTAATTTGACTCCAAAGAGGTTACCTCAACAATTAAATTGTTTATATATATGAAATATCAGCAAGAAGATAGAAAAAGAGGTTCATGGGTCACAACGCTCACCTGAGTCACATTGGCCCTGTTGTTCTTCACTAGGTTTAACCTCTTTATTCCTATGAAAACCAGAAGTCTCTAATGAGACTGTAACTCTACTGGTTTGTATTTATAACAAAGGAAGAGAAAAGTAGCACCTGCACTTGAAACTAAGCAACAGCAATAAATACGATAATGCTCCTTGATTTAGTTGCTTTGTGGCAAGATTTTTTGCAATCAGATTAAAACCCTCGGAGGAGTAACCTTTTGAAAGAATTTCACGAAAATTTCCATTTTTAGAAACCATGGCAAGACCATTGAAAAACTAATTAAAGAATTATGTATCTCACTGTAGTCTACATGTGTGCAAAGTTATACTGAAATCAGATGAAAACTGTAGGAGGAGTGGTCTTTTGAAAGTGTTTCACAGAAATTTCTATGTTTAATAACTATGGCAACACCATTATTCCTAATCAAAAACATTACACAGAATTATTTATCTGAGTTTGAAATGTTGTGTCCAAATTATATTCAAATCAGACCAAAACTGTAGAAGAAGTAGCGTTTTGAAAGAATTTCACAAATGTTTCTAATTTTATTAACCATGGCAACAACACTCACAAAAAAGTTGATAAAAAGAATTGTGTATTTTAATGTAGTCTACTTGTGTGCCAAGTTATACTGAAATGAGACTAAAACTGTAGGAGAAGTAGCATTTTAAAGGAATTTCACAGAAATTCCTATTTTTAGAAACAATGGTAACACCGTTCATCAAAACAAAAACCGATGCATTAAACTATGTATCTTAGTGTAGTCTTAACCTAAGTGCCAAGTTATATTGAAATCAGACCAAAACTGAGGAGTAGCCTTTTAAAGGAATTTCACATAAATTTCTAATTTTAGTAACCATGGCAACACCGTTCATCAAAGTAAAAAACAATGCACTGAATTACGTATTTTAGTGTAGTCTACTTGTGTGCCAAGTTCTACTGAAATCAAAAACTGTAGGAGGAGTAGGGGTTTGAAAGTATTTCACAGAAATTTCTATTTTTAGTAACCATGGCAATACCATTTATCAAAATCCAAAACAGTTGCACTGAATTATGTATCCTTGTGTAGTCCATTTCTGTGCCAAGTTACATTGAAATCAGACAAAAAACTGTAGGAGGAATAGCATTTTGAAAAATTGTTTACAGATGGACGGCTAGACAGATGGACAGACACCTTACTATGGCATAAGCTCTGCTGGTCTCTGACCAGTAGAGCTTAAAAAATTGACCCCATATATTTGGAGACAATTTGTGAATTTCAACTTGACATTTGACCTACTTGACCTACCTGTCCCCAAGCACCTGTGAGTGCATGTACATCCCAAGATCAATATCCATGCAAATTTGGTTTTTAGTATGACTTAGTTACTTGGAAATACACCTGCTCAAAAAAACTTTTCTCCTGTTTACTAATCAAGAAAATTTTGGTCAGTTCCAGCATCCAAAGCAAGTCTGGAAGTTTTCATCCTTAGATGCACAATCTATGCAAGTTTAGTCATAAGAGACCATAATATTATATAGCTACTCCAAAAAATTACCCTGGTCACTCATCTGGGAAATGTAGGTCAGATTCAGAATCTAAAGCAAGTCCGAAAGTATATCCATCCATAGATACATCATCCTTGCTAATTTGGTTAAAATATGGCTAAAATTCACTCATGTGGAAAATCAAGGTCGGATCCAGCAGGTTGGTTAGTGTACATCCCTAGAGGCATCATTCATGCAAGTTTGGTCCAGGTAGGGCTTATAGTTACTTAGGAATGGACCTGCTTCAAAAACTTTAACCTGGTCACTCATCTGGAAAATGTAAATCAGATCCAGCATCCGAAGCAAGTGTGGTAGTGTCCATCCCTAGATGCATCATCCATGCAAGTTTGGTCCAGGAAGGGCTTATAGTTACTTGGGAATGGACCTGCTCCAAAAACTTTAACCTGGTCACACATCTGGAAAATGTAAATCAGATCCAGCATCCGAAGCAAGTGTGATAGTGTCCATCCCTAGATGCCTCATCCATAAAAGTTTGGTCCAGGTAGGGCTTATAGTTACTTGGGAATGGACCTGCTCCAAAAACTTTAACCTGGTCACTCATCTGGAAAATGTAAATCAGATCCAGCATCCGAAGCAAGTGTGATAGTGTCCATCCCTAGATGCATCATCCATAAAAGTTTGGTCCGGGTAGGGCTTATACATGTAGTTACTTGGGAATGGACCTGCTTCAAAAATTTTAACCTGGTCACTCATCTGGAAAATGTAAATCAGATCCAGCATCCGAAGCAAGTGTGACAGTGTCCATCCCTAGATGCATCATCCATAAAAGTTTGGTCCAGGTAGGGCTTATACATGTAGTTACTTGGGAATGGACCTGCTTCAAAAATTTTAACCTGGTCACTCATCTGGAAAATGTAAATCAGATCCAGCATCCGAAGCAAGTGTGACAGTGTCCATCCCTAGATGCATCATCCATAAAAGTTTGGTCCAGGTAGGGCTTATACATGTAGTTACTTGGGAATGGACCTGCTTCAAAAATTTTAACTTGGTCACTCATCTGGACAAGAGGCCCAAGGGCCTTAACGGTCACCTGAGTATAATACAACAATTTAGAGGATCCATAGAGTATAAAATGAACTGAAAGGTGAAGCTTTGTTGCCCAAAAGCAAGAAAAATAGAGTGATCAGGATCAAAAAAATAATTAGTCTAGCATTCATTCACAGTTCATAAATTAGGTTCTAATCTGTTCATCATTTAACACTTTCACCATACAGTAATTTAACAAAATATCACTGCTTCTGTACCATCTTAATTCCTTGTTGAAATCTCTTACATTGGCCTCTCTTGATCTTTGATGAACATTTAATAAGACAAGTTATTTTTGTCTCATTTTTATTTATCTATTACTTACAAGTCTACCTGATCATTAAAACTATGAAAGTACTTTTTGTATTATACAATAAAAATTCTTGCATAATTCTCTTATTATATTAACCTTTCAAGTACATTATTTACAGTGATTAATTATCAAAAGTAAATGGCAAAGGGGAATAACTCCTCTCAGTAGATTACAAATTAATAGTGCCCTAGCTAGGACCAGAACACTTGACTAAATGGTCCAGATGTTCAAATATCTGGTAAAAATACCCTTCCTTATTAAAACTTTTACTCTTTTTGCCTCTGATATGCCCAGGTGCAGAGAAGATTTTTAAAGAAATAATGCATTTTTACTACAGATTCACTATATTATCAATAGACCCCCCCCCCCCCTCCATCGAGAAACATCAGAGCCTCTCACCCTGGGACCAGAAGTTTGCACATCATAAGTAATCACTTTGTTTATCTGCTTAACACTGAGGAGCAGACAGGATTATTTAATAGAAATAATGCATTTTCACTATATTATCAAGAGCCCCACCCTTGCACCAGCACATCTGACTCAGGGGTCATGCAATTCACTACTCTGGAAGAAGCACTCTTGCTCATCATAACTATACACTAGCTTCTTTGCTTTTTAACCAGAAGCAGAAAAGAATGTTTTCAGAAAAAAATTGCTTTTTCACTATATAATCAATAGAGCCCCCCCCCCCTTTTTTTTCACCAGAACCCTTGACCCTGGGGCCATGAAATTCACAAGTTTGGAAGAGGCATCCTTGCATATCATAACAATGTACTTAGTTTGTTTAAATAATACCCAGGGGCAGAGTAGAAGAGTTTTAAAGAAATAATTCACCTTCACTATAGGATCTATATGGCCCCACCCTAACACCAGAACCCCTGTCCCTGGGGCCATGAATATCACAATTTTGGAAGAGGCATCCTTGCTTATCATAATAATGTACTTAATTTGTTTAAATAATACCAAAGAGCAGAGAAGAAGATTTTTAAAGAAATAATGCACTTTCACTATATGATCTATATAGCCCCGCCCTAGCACCAGAACCCCTGATCCAGGGGCCATGAAATTCACAATTTTGGAAGAGGCATCCTTGCTTATCATAACTATTTATTTAATTTGTTTCAATAATACCCAGGAGCTGAGAAGAAGATTTTCAAAGAAATAATGCACTTTCACTATATGATCTGTATAGCCCCGCCCTAGCACCAGAACCCCTGACCCTGGGGCCATGAATTTCACAATTTTGGTAGAGTCACCCTTGCTTATCATAACTATGTATTCAATTTGTTTCAATAATACCCAGGAGTAGAGAAGAAGATTTTCAAAGACAATTTTGGTAGAGTCACTCTTGCTTATCATAACTATGTATTCAATTTTTGTTTCAATAATACCCAGGAGTTGAGAAGAAGATTTTCAAAGAAATAATGCACTTTCACTATATGATCTATATAGCCCCGCCCTAGCACCAGAACCCCTGACCCTGGGGCCATGAATTTCACAATTTTGGTAGAGTCACTCTTGCTTATCATAACTATGTATTCAATTTGTTTCAATAATACCCAGGAGCTGAGAAGAAGATTTTCAAAGAAATAATGCACTTTCACTATATGATCTGTATAGCCCCGCCCTAGCACCAGAACCCCTGACCCTGGGGCCATGAATTTCACAATTTTGGTAGAGTCACCCTTGCTTATCATAACTATGTATTCAATTTGTTTCAATAATACCCAGGAGTAGAGAAGAAGATTTTCAAAGAAATAATGCACTTTCACTATATGATCTATATAGCCCCGCCCTAGCACCAGAACCCCTGACCCCGGGGCCATGAATTTCACAATTTAGGTAGAGGGCTCAATGCTAATTACAATCATGTCAACAGTTTGACTGCTTGATGTCCAGGAGTAAAGAAGAAGATTTTTAAAGATTGCATTAATTTTGGTGGTTTTAGCCCCACCCCTCAGGCCCCAGGGGGGCAGGGACCATGAAATTCACAATTTTTGTCCCCCTTCACCCACAGATGCTATATGCCAAAATTGTTTGAAATTGGTTGAGCGGTTTCAGAGAAGAAGCTGAAAATGTTTAAATGTTAACGCACGACGGACAACGCACAACGACGGACAAAAACGGATCGCAATAGGTCACCTGAGTGACTCAGGTGACCTAAAAATGTAAATCAGATCCAGCATCCGAAGCAGTGTGACAGTGTCCATCCCTATATACATCATCCATACAAGTTTGGTCCAGGTAGGGCTTATAGTTACTTGGGAATGGATCTGCTTCAAAATCTTAACCTGGTCAGTCTTGTGGAAAATCTAGCTCAGATCCAGCATCCAAAACAAGTGTGTCAGTGTCCATCCCTAGATGCATCATCCATGCAAGTTTGGTCCAGGTAGGGCTTATAGTTACTTGGAAATGGACTTGCTCCTAAAACTTTAACCGGGACGCCGACGCCGGGGATATAGCATAAGCTTATCTCGACTTCGTCAAGGTGAATTAAAGATGTAGGATTTCTAATGACAGAAAAGTGTATTAAAAGGACATACGGGGATATTCATACACTGAAACTTTTTTTAAGAGATGCAAACATAAACTATATATCCTTTCGCCTTGGCAGAAATGTTAAACAGTCAACAAAGATTAAAAACACATCACACAGTTTTCATTTTTATTGCAGACAACCCTGTAACCATGTGCATCATCCACTTTCAAAGTCAAACACAATATAACATTCATGTCAAACTAATGAAAACAAGTATTCATTTCAGTCTAACTGATTATATTGCAATATTCAATGTAGGTTGTTCTATATTTTAAAGAAGAAGTTTCATCAGAAATTCAAATGGCATCTACAAAAATGTAATCAACCTTGTGGTACAATATCAAAACAATACGACAAACTTTTCAGTTTGAAACATAAATAGCAACTCAAATATGATCTCCATTACATATAATGGCACAACCAGAGTCACAAATATTGCTCCTTGTTTATATTCCATTTAATATTTCAGCTGGCTCATGACAGCATATTCTTCAGTAATTTATTTTCACTTCCACAAACATCCAAACATTCAAAATTAAAATCAGTGTTTTTGCTTTAATACTCTTTGATCTTTTTTGATAATTAATTAAATGAGTATGTTTAAAATGATGCATCTGAAATAATTCACTAATTAGCAATTATTTTTTAGGATTTGATGACATTTAAAATTGCAATGTACCCCCACCTATTTAAAAAAAAAAACTGTGGACATTTTTACTATCTACTGTACATACTGCACACTTTAACTTGAGTATAATAATAAAATGATCATACACGTACATACTTGTCAACTAAATCTGGAAATATCCTTGGGTAACAATCGTGGAATATATCAACACAGTTTTTTTTTTAATGTACCATGAAAGTGTGAAATTCAACTTCTATTTACATGTAGATGTGTAAGAAATTAATTTTTTTGCACATATTGTAATACTAGTAATTTATAGACACATCAATTTGGTGCTCACTTCAATCAGTACAGGTTTTGCTTAAAAAAAAAAGGATGGAAGAAAATTAAAAAATAAAGATACAGGACAAACAGAATTCATGGTTCAGGGATCGACATTAACGGATGTCCGATTGCCCGGGACAAGTAAATTCTCAGTTCGGGCAAGTGAATCTTACGACGTACTTGTCTAATCGGGCAAGTGAATTTTTCTCATAGAAACGTACATATTTATTTAGTTTATATTAATTTATATAAAAAAAAAAAAATAAATTGAAGACTTGATTTCCGCCAGGTACCTGACTGACATTGTTTTTGCATTCAGAATTCCTTGTCAGCACTTCTGGATTATACCTTTCATTTGAAAATGGGGTTCGTTTTTCCGTTTTTCCCCCCCCCCTGGTAAATATGCTGTTCGTCTAATATCTTTGTTAACTTCTTATTTGCAAATTAGATTATTTATTCTATCTTCCTTCAGCGTTGTTTCACAGTTATCTCAGAAAATAACGATCCACAAAAGAATCCTATTGAAAATAATTTTTAAAAATATGAATTTTATTAAAACGGAGGGTTATTGCTATATGGCAGTGTGTGTTAACAGGTTAAATTTACAAGGACAGTTGTATACATTTATGTACAAACACAGCATCAAAATTTTTTCAGGTACCTCACCTTGCCAAATTGACAGTAGTGTATTTGGTCACATTTTTTCTTGTCATAACATTTACAGTAATAAAACATTTCTTCTCAAGTTCTTTCCTTATTTTGGGCAACCAAGTTTTGCGTTCGGACAAGTCAAAGTTTGAGATCACTTGCCGAAGGGCAAGTAAATCTGAAAGTTAATGTTGATTCCTGTGGTCGTTGTTTTCTTTACTCAGACTGGTAAAAGTCTGTAAATTATAACATTTTTACTTCTTTCCAGTAATAATTTTAGGCTGGCTAAAATTAATTCTACATTTAATGACTCTTAAATACTTCATAACCTATGAGAGAGGGAGAAAAAAAAATTTAAAAAATTTCAAACAAATGAGTATTTAGTCATTTACAAGAATCAAAACAAATAAACTGCAGAAAGGGACAACCCTGTTTGTGCATCATGTTGGCTTATTGTTTAATGATAATTTTTAGTAAATGTCTAAGTATAAATGATAGCCAAATCTCAAATATACCTCATACAGGCCCAAATGTTATCTGTTTCTATGGAATGCAGTTTTCAGTTGCTAAAAGTCAAAGCAAACCAGAATACAAACTTAAAAAATATTGATTTTGTTTGCTTTTTCAAGTGCCAATTTTTCTGAAACCTATGCATGTGGGTGATGTTAAATGTAAAATTAACTTTGGACAGCCTTAGGTAGCAAGTTAGAGAAAGATAAATATTTCTTGGATAATACTAATATACCTACATTTACAGGCAGATTTCATATAAATTATAATTTCCTTCCAGTTTTCACTCAAACACAATAAATATTCTCTCACAATAAATACTCAATTATCTTTCATACTGACTCAACATAAATATTAACAGTAACAAGTTTTTAGCTATTATGTTCTAAATACATCCTTTGTCATGATGTCTCTGTGACATGCAGATTTTCTAGATGACTGGAAACTCTTTCCATCTCTTCCTTTTCAGTTGTGGTAACTTTCTTCTCTAGAAAATCATTCAAACTTAATTTTGCAAGGTCAAGGTTACCAAGCGACCTTGACCTTGTCAATGAAGTTTCAGAAAAAGCTTTAACTGGGGAGGAAGAATTGGACTTTGACTGTGAATACTCATTCTCTGTTTGCCTGAGCTCTGTCTCAGGGAGAGATTGGTTAATCCTCCATGGGACTTCATAAGGCTTACGAAACCTTTGATAGCGACCAGCACGAAGTCTCGACATGCGTGTCATCCTGCACTTCATATTCCTTCGTACATGTGCCTCTTCCTCTGGATTTCTATAACTGGTTCCAAATTCTGTTGACACTATTGGTTGGGAATGTCCTAGTGTTGGCTTGGAATGTCCAGTTGTTGGCTGGGAATGTGCCGGAAGTTGGAGACTAGAATCTTGATCTTGTTTATATGGTGAGCCAGGATCAGTGGATGTACTGGAACTAAACCCTGTCACATATGTTGGATCTATGCGTAAAATTCTAAACCTAGAACTAGCTGGTTCTTTCACACAGGTCCTGTTTCGCTCATGTAGGTATTCCCTTCTGCTGTTTGTTACAGAACTGATCATTCCTAGTTCATGTAGTGCACTGTCTACATCCATTCCTGTTGAAACAGGGTTGCAGCAGTAACAACCCCCTTGGGACATCCTGTCACCTGTAATGAAGGGAAAAAATCATGAAATAAAAACATAAATTTCTAGAATAAATTTGTAATAATAGCTGATATATAAACAGCAAATTGTGCACTGAACTATTTTGTATTCTAACAAAAGTTGCAAACATCTAGTTTGTCTGTCCTACTCAACAGTGGACACCTCACTCTTGCAAGTACATTGGGGTATACTGTTTTCCATGATGGATGTTGTACAGAAAAAAAAAAACAACTTTCTTTCAAGTGTTTTCACTGTTCTTTGTACCCCCATTTTCTAAAACCACACCGATGCATAATAAGTGCTGGTATATATTATCTTAAAACCATAAAATTGACAGGACGAATTTTTTCTCCAATATGTAAATCAGAAACATATTGTGTAACAAAAATAAATGCAACAGACAAGAACATGCAGGATTCAAACCTAGTTAGAATAATCTAACTGTGTCTCCAGACAAAACCGGTGTCATATAATATATTGAACCCCGCGATATTTTGAACCCAAAATATGAACCCGGGTTCAAAATATTATGCGTTATATTGAACCCGGGTTCAATATATCGCGGTATCAAAATATTATGCTACACCGGGTCCGTAGGACGATAGAACGTTCTATCTAGATTCAAATGAATGTCAGACACCTCGGCCCAACGACACCTCAGCCCATTGACATCTTGGCCCAATGACACCTCGGCCTTGACTGGTCGGCCCAAAATTTAAGACACCTCGGCCCACACATAAGACACCTCGGCCCAAGGAAACTTTTATTAGAAAGTATTATATATTTCCAATCTGCGATGTCAATAAAATTTTGAACGAAAAAAGTAAACAATCAAGATTATTTTTAGTACTAAAAAGACCTTCCATGAGCTACATGATTGAAGATCATCAAGGAATAAAAAGACAATTAATTATAATTTTAAAAGTGCTAACAGATAAACAAACAAGATGCCGCGGCCTATCCTTTGGGAGTCTCCAGTGCGTGTCATATTGGTGTCATTAAGGGAATAATTACGAGCAGGCTTAATCTGTTAATTGTGAGACAGTCATTCAGAACATTTACATCCATTTATTTCTTAAGAATTTCACTTACATTAAAAACTTGTTTGAGCACTGATTTTTTTAAAAAAAATTTATTTTAAGCTATCTGTATCAAACTGTGATTTTCAATCAATGAACATGATGAAACATACGATGAAGTTCAGATCAATAATGCAATTATTTTACGTACTTAAACTATTATCTTATACGATTATTTATACTGACATAAGTGTTAACAATAAAATATCCTTCCTTTTTTTTTTTGTTAATGCAAGATTAATGACCGCAACCATATAGCAGAAATTCTCGCATTTACAAAAAAGTTACAGTTTAAATGAAGTCCATATATATCTTTTCACGAATTATCAACCCATCTCAGATGTTTCAGATCGTCAGAGAAGTAATGCAAAATGAAACGATAAAATTCCGGCAATTCTTATAGAAAGTCAAGATCATAAGAATGTTGATATATCATAGTTTCACTTAAGTGTATATATTGGGGACTTTCCACAAGAGATAGATCTATGTTAGTTAACGTGCTGATCTGATTTGCTTAGGGAAGTGAACCAATTTTCTATTATAGACCCCCCCCCCCCCCCCTTGACTTTTATTTTATAAAATCATTTAACCGTCAAAAAGAATAATTACATCGATAATAATAACAATTCAGACAATGGATTAATTTTTTCCATCATAAAATTTCGCTTGGGCCGAGGTGTCTTTTATATGGGCCGACGTGTCAATAATCTTGGGCCGATCTGTCAGGGCCGAGGTGTCAGACGTCACGGGCCGAGGTGTCGTTGGGCCGAGATGTCTGTCTACCATTCAAACCTAGCCCACTGAACTTTAACCTGATGCTCTACCGAGCTTTCTGGCCACTGATGATCAAACCTGCTGGACCAAATTCCTCCCTCTTTAAATACCTTCGCCACTGATAATATCAAACCAAGCTCTTCCTTGGCAGGCCTTCTCACTTGTCACTTCTAGGGCATGGCACCTAGTGTATCTTTGAGATTAACGTCTAGTTTTTTTAGGCTTAGATAAACGTTAGATAATACCAAAATGGCAAAACAATGTGGTGGGAATTTAGATTTTGATTTGGGGACCCATTAACACATATTTAACCCACACTATTTTATTAAACAGTATAGTATTTTGAAATTCATACCTCAATGTATACACAAACATGTCTGTAAATGAAACATATAATAAACAACGTTGACCGGGACATGCGTGTTAAATACCCATGAAGAAAAATAAAATTGTCAGTAAAGAAATTATTCAAGGAATTTTTCTTACAGCATTCATAGAAAACAGTACAAATGTTTACATTGTCAGGCGCCAAACAAATATTCTGCAACTCTGCTGCTTTGTATACATCTCGCGAAGTGCGAGATTTTCCGTCGATGATGATCGGATCTTCTCTTGATTTATCTCTCAACTGTGAAGTATTTTTCCCGAAAGTTCCCGAGAGAACAAAAATGGCGCGGTGGCTAAACATTGAAAATGACATAAAAACATTAGTTTTCCAGATTACAGGATTTCAGGTATCAGAGGTGTTTAATTTTGCTGTAGATTGTTTCATACAAAATGTTAAATGGAATTATTCAGAAGATTGCATGAAAATTAAAAAAAATAAAACCGTTATCTGTGCAATTAATATGCCCAAAAAATACAATATCCAGCTCAATCTCATGATTAAGCTACATAGCTTGAATTAGCTATTTAGTTTTAACGTGCTATTCAAAATAGCTTGTTTTAGCTCAAAATTCCACCAAAATGAGAATTACATTACACTTCTGCAATGAAAAGGGGTAGGCACTAGGCAGGTCTGAATCAACTGTTAAGCTGTTATATTTAGCCCCTAAACAGTCATACTGATGTATGCTTTTCTTTGAGTAGGAAGGAAATTCACATTTAATTTCATTCATTCACAAAATAATTGTGCTTAATAACGATTAAAATTCTTTACAGGAAGGAGAAGAAAACTTTGCATTATGTGTTCAGTTTGCCATGTCAAACATCAAGTATCACCGTTTCCTGAGTGTGGATAGTCACAGAGTTACCAAATCTCTGAATGGGTAGGTTACTAAGTTATCAATGTCTTGTCTGAAAGGGTTGTAATATAGATGCATGGATGTTCAAACCAGTGCCTAACAGACCTGGGGTCAATTACTTTGAATTGTAATGAATTAAATTACATATCTTGGAATTTTTACCATTACAATTACCATTACCATTACTCTCATTCAGAAAAGTAATGAATTAATTTACAATTACTTTGTTAAACTAATGGATTACATTACACATTACATTTTATAAGAGAAAAACAATTTATATCCATATATTAACTTTTTCACACTCTGTGTGCGTCTGTTAATATGCTTTCCCTCAGGTCTTCAAGTCAGAGTGGTATTTGGGTTTGGATTCATTTATCACGTTCATGTGGTTTACCAATCTACAGTTGACAAAGAAAGTTGATCGGAACACTTTCAATGTTGTAGTTTTGTTAAGTCTCTAATGTTTAAGTTTCTCTTTTCTTTTTTTAAATAAATGATAAACATTTCGTACTATATTTTTTATGTAAAGTGATATCTAATTAACAGATAATTCTATAATTGTAAAACGAGTATGTATTAATAATTTAATTAATGGGCACTTGTAATTAGCTGAGCAGGCATAATCAATGAAGATATAAATTTAACGTAGGTCGCAGGTTTGCTGACGTCATTAAAACTGGGTACGCAATTTATATGGATTGGGCGACTTTCTTGTACACATTTGATTATGACGTCACAATGAAAAAGAAATTTCAGTGTATCATTATCTAGCCATAAATTTTGTTGGTATTGGTATTTTATTGTTATATTGTTTAAGGCACAACTTATCACAAATAATGAAGGCTTTTTACAATTTGAATAGTCGATACAATATTTAGATATAACTTTTGTTGGAAATGGTTGTTTAGTGTAAAATTATTTATAGAACAAACTGAAGTTATCAAATATAATGAAGGCTTATTACGATTCGAATCCAACGCTGGAAGTATTAGAAAGCGTTTCATTATGTGTTATTAATCGCATCCCGGGGAGTTTGGAATTTTCGGCTTATCGGAATGGTCCGCGAAATTGCAATTGATTAGATATGACATGGTATCGCGAAACGATATGGGCACAAGTTTTAATTGTCCTCTTTTCCTTTGAACATATTTGAATTAACAGTTTGTTTAATTAATAAAGAAATCATTATATAAACAATCGCAAATGCACCTATTACATTAAAGTTTAACCTTTATTTTTAAAAAGGACATTTTAAAAATATATTTAAAGGTTTATCACAAATTAAAAACTGCTAAGGTACTATGAAACATAAACTAATACATTTTTTAGCGACATTGACCTTCTGTAAGTAAACATAGGCACTTGGGATATGGATTCCCCCTTTCCATTTTTTTTTTCTCTTTCAGTTTGGGGTCGAGTCACCTTTTTCCTATTTTTGTATTCTAATTCTGACAATTTACCCTTAGGCCGTAAAGATGCCCTTAGATGAGTGTGATTTAATCGAAATATTTACTAATCGGGGGCAAATGAAAATTAAATGGAAATATGAAACGGAAGAAGAATGTGTTAAAAAAAATATTGATGTCTGCATATTTCATGTTTTCTTATGCTTTAGATAAATAATCATGCGAAGTTTAAGTTTAAGAAGTGAGTTAAACGACGAGAAAATCTCTCTTTTATGTATCAGTGGAAACGATATATTTAAAAACAGCTTACAGAGACAAAAGGGTTACATTATCGATAGCATATAGTACATGTAAGGTAAGAATACAAAAATTGGAAAAAGGTGACTCGACCCGAGATTTAAAAAGGAAAAAAAGGGGGGCATTTTTATGTATCAGTCGAAAACAATATATTTAAAAACAGCTTAAAGAGACAAAAGGGTTACATTATTGATAACATATAGTACATATTAAAATTCAAACATAAGAAAAAGGTGACTCGACCCCAGATTTAAAATGAAAAAAAAAATTGGACGGGAGGGGGGGGGGGTTCAATACCCCAAGTGCCCGTGTAAGTAACGGCTTACAATGCTCTTATCTACAGATTTTATTCGCTACTTTGCTTTCCATGTCCAGATAGTCGAATTAATGTTATATACATTGAAAGTCTTTTGAAATCAATAAAAAAAACAAAAAAAAACTGCCTGTTGATTACGTCAGATAAAATAAATTTTTATATTCTCGTCCCATTTACCCCTCTAAAAATGTCTCGTTCGTTTTTTTTTCTATTGTTATACGTGTAATCATAAAATCAAGTTCAGATTTTTTTTAGTTATCCCCTGTCTGTATGTAAAGATAAATAAAAACATTTTTTTTTAATATACATGTATACTGAAAATACAATGTACTTAGCCGGGACAATATTTGGCGGAAATCCATTCATTAAGAAGTTATCGTAGCTATGAGCGCATTGCTGAATGTTCTAACTAAAAAAATTTCATATGTATACTTGAATAAGAGGATAACCGTTTTCCACCAGCACGCTGAAAAAATACACAGCCAAATGTAGGATACTTATCTATGAAAAAGAAAACAAAACAAAAAGAAAAGAAACGGTGTGAAAACAACACATAAAGAAAATACATTGAAAGAAATTAAAGCATTGATTGTCGTTTTACGTCCCTTAAGATAATTTTCACTAATATGAGACGTACAAAGAATAGTTAGAAGAGGAACATGTCTAATAATCATTTCATTGCTATTGAATTATTATGATACAATTCGTGGGTCATATGAAAGCAGATAGACGTGAATTAAAAATATTTTAATTTGTTTTTCTGCTCTGTATACCGGATCGATATTCACGACGTCAAGCGTGACGTCACGATATTTTATGACGTAGTTCTTAAAAATGTTAAATTTTGCGATATAAAAGTAATTATCTACATTTAAATTGCGAGTAAACAAAGCTGAAGACATATTAATTTTTTCACATAGATTTATTTCAAATCAATTCTATTTTAAGATACCAAAGGGGGAACGATTTCGTCTGCACCATTTAAAAGTTAATAATATTTTTTGAAAAAAAAATCTTGCCTGAAAACGAGCCGAAATCTACGCTTTTCCTATATAATTCAATACAATAACGTCAAAATTGTGGCATTATCAATGGCATCTTTGGGATTTAATTACATAAAAACGATGCAGACGAATTTTGTAAAATTTTCAGAGAATGTAAAACAAAGGTAGAGGAATCATATAACTAATTTTCATGGTATGTTTTCGGACACTTTTAAAAGGCCTGCAAACCCACGACCTACGTTAACACAATTAACCAAAGGTGATAATTACTGGTACCTATAGGGTTTGAAGTTAGAGGTGACTCTCAAGCTACCAAATATGAATGATGGACATTATCAATATTTACATTTGGCCTTAGTTTCCATTTGTGTCTTCAAGTAGATCATACTGATCTTGTATCTTGCTTATCAAGTCAATTTTTCCAAAATAAACTTTGAGAAAAGAAAAGAAAAACAAGAGGCCCATGGGCCACATCGCTCACCTGAGTAACTTTGGCGATGCTGTTCATTACCAGACTCCCCCCTTGTAATACCTATTGTGGCCCCACCCTCCCCCCAGGGGCCATGATTTGAACAATTTAGAATCTACACTACCCCAGGATGCTTCCACATAAGTTTCAGTTTTTCTGGTCCAGTGGTTCTTGAGAAGATTTTAAAAGATTTTTCCTATATATTTCAATGTAAAACTTGGGATTCCCCCTATTGTGGCCCCGCCCTATCCCCTGGGTCATGATTTGAACAATTTAGAGTGCACACTACTTGAGGATGCTTCCACATAAGTTTCAGCTTTTCTGGCCCAGTGGTTCTTGAGAAGAAGATTTTTAAAGATTTTTCCTATATATATTTCAATGTAAAACTTGTATTTCCTATTGTGGCCCCGCCCTACCCCCGGGGGTCATGATTTGAACAATTTAGAATCTACACTACCCCAGGATGCTTCCACATAAGTTTCAGCTCTTCTGGCCCTGTGGTTCTTGAGAAGAAGATTTTTAAAGATTTTTCCTATATATTTCAATGTAAAACTTGGATTCCCTATTGTGGCCCCGCCCTACCCCCGGGGGTCATGATTTGAACAATTTAGAATCTACACTACCCCAGGATGCTTCCACAGAAGTTTCAGCTTTTCTGGCCCAGTGGTTCTTGAGAAGAAGATTTTTAAAGATTTTTCCTATATATTTCAATGTAAAACTTGTATTTCCTATTGTGGCCCCGCCCTACCCCTGGGGGTCATGATTTGAACAATTTAGAATCTACACTTCCCCAGAATGCTTCCATATAAGTTTCAGCTTTACTGGCCCTGTGGTTCTTGAGAAGAAGATTTTTTAATGACCCCACCCTATTTTTGTCTTCTCTTGATTATCTCCCCTTGTGAGGGGACTTGGCCCTTCATTTTTACAATTTAAATTCCCCTTTACCCAAGGATGCTTTGTACCAAGTTTGGTCAAAATTGGCCCAGTGGTTCTTGAGAAGAAGTCAAAAATGTGAAAAGTTTACAGACGGACGGACAGACAGACAGACAGACGGACAGACGGACGGACGGACGACGGACAAAATGTGATCAGAAAAGCTCACTTGAGCCTTCGGCTCAGGTGAGCTAACAAGTTGAAAAATATAGTTTGTATCTTAATTGGTAGTCTCAGTACAAAGCACATGTTAATGTCACTTGTTTTGTGGCTATCTTTGAAACCTAATGATTTCTTTTAATAATTTTTTCTGGCTCTCTTCAATTGATTTTATAACTGTCTTGTCAAGAAGTTTCCTATTAAAACAATTATAGTATGTTTATCAATCACCATTGAATAAACATTTTTAAAAAATGGTAAAATATAGGATTTTATCAATAAGACTTTAACATTATACATAAAAAAACTCTCAGTGCTTACTTTGTTTAAGATTCAGTAATAAAAAGATATTAAAATACAAAATGTAATTGAAATGTAATTGAAAAGTAATGGTCATTACTGACATTTTTTTGAAAGTAATGCATTACATTACAATTACTTGTAATTGAAAGATGGATCCATTACACATTACACCCAATTACTTTGAAAAAATGTAATGATTACAATGCATTACCATTACACATTACCATTACCCCAGGTCTGGTGCCTAAATTGACAAAGTTATCCTGATTATAGCAAATGTTAAAGAATTGTCAACATGAAATAACATCAATGATGGGAGTCAAGTCACCTTGAAGAAATATATATATATATATATATATATATATATATATATATATATATATATATATATATATATATATATATATATATATATATATATATATATATATATATCAACTGGCTAAACATTGTGCTACTGCTTTATTGATAAGAGGTTATACAATGTAGAGTAATATTTCAGGATGCTTGAAAAGTTTGAGATCCACTCCCAGCTGGATAAAAAGGATTGTCTACAGAGACTGTGTGACCAATTTTTATCCATGCCATGTTTTGAAGGACGTGATACAGGGAAAGTATGACATTAGTTTTAATATTGATATATCTCATTGTGTAGAGTAGAGTCCAGAATTAGCTCTATTCTAACCTGCACTTTGGAGTAAATTTCAGGCACAGTATATATCATTAGTATCAGTATTTCATCTTAAACAAGCAAGAACTATTTGATACCCTTTTATCATGATGTTCCTAGATATTCAGGGAATTACACAATTGCTATGACCAGCACTTCATCCTATCAGCTTCATTCCACTGTTCAGACTACAGTTAAACTTCGGTATCTCAAACACCGTTATCTTGAATATCATGGATATGTCGAAATAAATGGGAAGTCCCATCCTCATTTTCTATATGTATTTTAACTTCAATATCTCAAATCCTGGGATATTTTTTTCACAGTTTTTTCACAGCCACATCGAGTTCAAGGTAACTGTAATGTACAGATCTTGCAGTATGTCCTTCAAATTTCATGTGGAAAATAAGCAATTTCTGATAAAAAAAAACCCATTGTTTTTTAGGGTGGAAAGAACTTGCAAATTCTGAAGAAATATCCAGTCAACAAATACTAGGCTACCTGGGGGGATTTTTTGCAATAACATGAAGGTCAAATACAAGATGATGTAGAACTTGTGATTTTATGTTATTGTTGTCAGTAGTAAAAACCATTTTTCTATTTTACAGACGGACACCCACTACAGTTTGTTGATGTTACTACTGAATGTAGGAGAAAACCCAACTCATTCTCCTTACGCAGGCAAAGCCCAAATTCTTAAAGCACCAGGTACCAATATTAATAACTTCCATTCTTAAAAAAAATTATTTTCTCTGTGACTCAGAGGACAGAACAGAGGAAATTCGAACTGAAATGTGCACATTTGTGTAGAAAATTTTGTGTGAAACCATCCCAGAAATCGTTGGCTACAGCAATTCCATGCATTGTAAAGATTTTCTTAAGAGCTTAAAGGAAACAAAAAATAATTGCGTATACTCTATAATGCCTCTTGTTAAGGACCCTCTATACACAGATGAAAAAAGTTTTTTGGACTTTGAGAAAATTATATAACATAAAGGGGGATATTTTGAAATTAACTGACTCATTTTTAACATAGGTCGCGGGTTTGCTGACGTCATTAAAACTGAGTACGCAATTTATATGATTTGGGCGACTTTCTTGTGCACATTTGATTATGACATCACAATGAGTAAGACATTTTTTTAACTCTTCAATACAACAAACTGAAGTTATCACAGGTTGAAAACTTGTTTTAAATGATTTTTTTAATGTTCGAAAATCGAAAGCGTTAGAAAGCGTCTATTTATCATCACATTGAGGCCACAACAGTATCACGAAAAGATGTGGAGCAACTGAACAAGTGTCAACTGCATGATTATTTTTTTTTCCTTTGACGTATTTTAATAAAAAGTTTGTTTCACTGAAAAACCGTCATTATTTAAACAACCGCTGTTACAATTGTTATATCAAAAGTTTAAACTTTATTTTTAAAAAGGAAATTAAAAAAAAACAAAAAAACAAGTATATCTATATCACAATTGAAAAACTGCTCAAGTATGAAGAATAAAACATAAAAACGACACAGACCTTCTATAATAACAGCTTACAATGCTGTTAGCTTCAGATTATATTTAATTTGCTTTCCCGGTCAAGAAAATTGCCCTATAAATTGAAAAGTCGCTAAAAAAAATCTGGGTAGTAAATTGTAGCCTGTTGATAAGGCAAGATAGAATTAATTTTTAGATTTTCATCTCCATTTACCTCTCTCAAAGTGTTTCGTCTGATGGCTTTTTAAAAATTATTTTCAGAAGTATTTAAATATAAAATCAAGGTAAAAGTTTGGGAGGTATCCCCCATTTGTATGCGAAAAACCGAATAAAGAATAAATAAAAAAAAAAAAAAAAACGGCGAGGAATGCAGTGTAAATGCACCGTATAAATACAGATATGTATAGAGAATTAAGGCAGTGATGTTTAACTAGATTTAGATACATCTATTATCATCATGATAGAAAGATTTGAACAAAGTAAAAGTATTGTGATGAAGAAATTAAAGCTCCAAAATAACAGAGTCTCGGAGCTAGAGGTACTTGTGTGTTATTTCACCTGATTAAAAAAGATTGCTGGCAGACTTATTAAAAATTCGCGCTAAAGAAAACAGGGATATTAATTCGGTAGGAATCTGAGGAGGGGTGTGCCCCCATAATTTTTTCAGTGTATATAAAATACTTTAGAAAATCGAGCTAATTTACAGTTGTTGTCCCCCTCGATAACATTGCCAGTACATGAAAATAATATGCATATTAGAAAACAGAGGTAATTTGCGGTTGTGCCTCCTCTAGAATGTCTGCTTCAGGCCCGTAGAACGCGGGGGGGGGGGGGTTCCCACTTTTTTCTGAGTATAGTATTTTGCTACAGTAATTTTTCCTATAGATGCATGCTGGTTCCCTCCCCCCTCCCCCCCCCACTTTTTGTTGCTGTTATGTCGAGCGTGGCAAATCCAGGATTTGGACAGCTTATAAGGTTTTTTTTAGGTTGCCCTCCCCCCCCCCCCCCCATATTGAAACCATTGCTACGTGCCTAAACTTGTCTGTATCTGTTAGGTTGTACCCCCCCTCCCCCCCCCCAACTAAAAATTACATCCCATGTTCCTGTGTATCTTAGTGTTTTAAAAAAAACGCTCATTAAAGAATAAATTCTTTAAACTATAATAACGCCATGTTTTACAAATACTTTAACAATATCAAACGGTGTCAAGAATGAAAAATCGGACGCTCAAAAAATGACAAAGTTCGGTTAAAATTTGTGATCTTTTCATATAAAACACGAGTAGTTCTTGTTTCTTATTTTTATTACCAACAGAATTTGATTTAGTTGGAAAAACGCTGCATGACGACATGTGGTGATACCTCAGCGACATCCTGTTAAAAGAGCAGTTGTACATGTTGTATGCAGCGTGTGTACTCGTATTAGCATTACCAATGTGAAAATTCCCTATACGGGTCATTTGAAAGCACTTGATATATGTATCACAGGCATCAGAAGCAAATTACATCTGGAATACAAGTGTGTTGGGGGTCCAAACTTCGTTGATCGGTATTGAATTAAGAAAAAGTTTATTTGTTAGCACTTCAGCTGTTCCTCGTGAAGATTATTTATTTAGGATTTATATCAAGCAAAATGAAACAAAAATTAGTCTTCGATGTAGGAGAATATTGGACATATATCATGTATCATTTCAACTCGACAGAGAATAGATATGTATTTCTTGAAAAAAGATTATTTACTATACTCATCCCCTACCACATTTGCTCCTGAATATTAGTTGTACCTAACCACTCACCATTTCTCTTCCCTAACGTTTTGGCGATTACTCATATTCTTACTTGTCAGAAAATTTTGAACTTTTTTTTTTCTAATTTTATTCTCTAATTAATATTCGTTCCCCCATTCTTGTAAGAAAAAAGTCTCTGAATCACGCTAGGAGTACTGCTCCTGCAAGCCCCCCCCCCCCCCCCCCCCAGCTAGCCTTCTCTGTCTCTCTCTCTCTTAGTTACAGCTTAAATAAGGTGTTTCAGACAAAATACATTGTTACGTAACTCATACATCTGTGCTTATTTTAAATACAAACTTTACATTAAATATATATAAACATAAATTTCTTCTTTTTGTTTTTCTGCACTTTATACTGGACCGTATCCACGATGTCAAGCGTGACGTCGCGATAGTTTATAGCGTCATTCTTAAAAATGCTACATTTTGTGATGTAAAAGCAATTATTCACATTTAAATTACGAGAAAACTAACTCGAAGACATATTAATTTTTTTACATAGATTTATCTGAAATCATCTCTGTGTGAAATGACCAAAAGAGAAACAATTTCGTCTGCACCATTTAAAAGTTACTGAGATTTTTTGAAAAGAAATCTTTCCTGAAAACGAGTCAAAAATGACGTTTTCTCTATAGAATTCAATAGAATAACGTCGAAAATATTACGACAACGATGGCATGCTTGGGATTTGATAACACAAAAACAATGCAGACAAATTTAATAAAATTTTCAGAGAATGTACAACAAAAGTAGGAGATTCATATATGTGATTTTCATGGTATGTTTTTCGAGCAATTTTAAAAGGTCACCAAACCCGCTACCTACATTAATATAGGGAGCGTGCCTTTTTAGCTCACCTCGACGAAGTCGAGATGAGCTTATGCTATACCCCCGGCGTCGGCGTCGGCGTCGGTGTCGGCGTCGGCGTTAGCGTCGGCGTCCCAGGTTAAAGTTTTAGGAGCAAGTCCCATTCCCAAGTAGCTATAAGCCCTACCTGGACCAAACTTAAATGGATGATGCATCTAGGGATGGACACTACCAAACTTGCTTCGGATGCTGGATCTGACCTAGATTTTCCAGATGAGTGACCAGGTTAAAGTTTTAGGAGCAAGTCCATTCCCAAGTAACTATAAGCCCTACCTGGATCAAACTTGCATAGATGATGCATCTAGGGATGGACACTACCACACTTACTTCGGATGCTGGATCTGACCTAGATTTTCCGGATGAGTGACCAGGTTAAAGTTTTAGGAGCAGGTCCATTCCCAAGTAACTTAAAGCCCTACCTGGACCAAACTTGCATGGATGATGCATCTAGGGATGGACATGGCCACACTTGCTTCGGATGCTGGATCTGACCTAGATTTTCCGGATGAGAGACCAGGTTAAAGTTTTAGGAGCAGGTCCATTCCCAAGTAACTATAAGCCCTACCTTGACCAAACTTGCATGGATGATGCATCTAGGGATGGACACTACCACACTTGCTTCGGATGCTGGATCTGACCTAGATTTTCCGGATGAGTGATCAGGTTAAAGTTTTAGGAGCAGGTCCATTCCCAAGATACTATAAGCTCTACCTTGACCAAACTTGCATGGATGATGCATCTAGGGATGGACATGGCCACACTTACTTCGGATGCTGGATCTGACCTAGATTTTCCGGATGAGTGACCAGGTTAAAGTTTTAGGAGCAGGTCCATTCCCAAGTAACTATAAGCCCTACCTGGACCAAACTTGCATGGATGATGCATCTAGGGATGGACACTACCACACTTGCTTCGGATGCTGGATCTGACCTAGATTTTCCAGATGAGTGACCAGGTTAAATTTAAGGAGCAGGTCCATTCCCAAGTAACTATAAGCCCTACCTTGACCAAACTTGCATGGATGATGCATCCAGGGATGGACACTACCACACTTGCTTCGGATGCTGGATCTGACCTAGATTTTCCACATGAGTGAATTTTAGCCATATTTTAACCAAATTAGCATGGATGATGTATCTAGGGATGGACACTTCCAGACTTGCCTTGGATTCTGAATCTGACGTACATTTTCCAGATGAGTGACCAGGGTAATTTTTTTGGAGTAGCTATATAATATTATGGCCTGTTATGATTAAACTTGCATAGATGGTGCATCTAAGGATGAAAACTTCCAGACTTGGTTTGGATGTTGGAACTGACCAAAATTTTCTTTGATTACTTAACAGGTCAAAAGTTTTTTGAGCAGGTCTATAATTAAATCAAACTTGCGTGGATATTGATCTTGGGATGTACCCTAACTAGAAAAAAAATATGATGTGAAATTTGCCTTACTTGTAGATAACATTCGTCGAGGTGAGCTTCGTAATCTTTGATTACCTATGTTTTATTCAGGAAAAATCTTCAAAGACAATGAAGTAATGGGAAAGAAAAATTGCCTTCGCTTATTCAAATGGATAAAATACATGCAAATCAAGTTTTCAAATACTCTATCTTGGTCTAATACAATGTTTAGAATACTTTGATTTATTTTAAATTATGTGATACAGTTCAGATTACAATTTATTCTACTTATATGTCAAATGGTGGGTCAGTCTAATTACACAAAAGTACCCTGAAAATAGGGTGCAGTGTAGAGAGGGTCCTTAAAAAAATTGCACTTGGTCTATTTAGACTCCGTTATGAAGTGCAACTAACATGACCTCACACTCTAGATCTTCCAATTGAAATGTCTTGTGTTTTGAAGAGGTGGATCAAAGATAAAAGTGTAAGCTATGTAAAGGTTTTTTTATGTAATAAATACCGATGATTGTACCATACAACATATTATTTAAATTTAATGCTGTCAAGAGAGTTTTGTGACACTGTCATTGACTGCCCTTGTATATCAGGCTGTTTAGTGAAAATGTTTCAGTCTCTCTTATGATTTTTTGATGTATGAAGAGAAACAACTTTCACTACCAAGAAACTATTTAAACTTTTTTGTTCATTGTAGAGGTGGTTGATTGTTTATGCTTTGTTCATTGTAGAGGTGGTTGATGACTTCGACTGGGGAGCCTATCTCAGGGAGGGTATAGAAACATACTCAACAATATATGCGGACTCTGATGTAAGGAAGAAGCCTTCTCTTACAATTTACTTTAAGAACATTGCCTTTGGAAAAAATGCTTTTAAGCTTATTAAGGGACTTTATTCGTTTTGTTATTACAGTGTCAATTTTTTGCCTTTCATGCTACATGAATGAGGCAAAAAATAAACAAAAATTTGAAAAAAAAAAGTTAATGAAGCTTACATCTCTAATGGTAACAGTCAAGAAACAGTGTACTTATCAATGTATAATAAGGGAAGAACATAAGAGAGTATCCAACAAACATGACAAATGTTTGATAAATTACTTATCTCAATTCAAACAGTTATCAACACCATAATCAATTCTGGTGTGTAATTTTCATTGTAGATGTTTCTTTTTATGCCCCGCCATGAATATGGCCGCGGCATATAGTGTTTGTCATGTCCGTCTTCTGTCCTTCTGTCCTTCCGTCACACTTTGCGTTTAGCTCTGTTCAAAGCTCAGTTTCAAAGAAATTATCCAAGATATTTTTATCAAACTTCATATGCTGATAGATATTGATGAGAGTTATGCAACTGCATCAACATTTTTTGACCTTGACCTTTCCTTTGACCTTGACCTCACTTTTCTTAAGTTAGTGTTTAGCTCAGTTTTAAAGATACCATTCAAGATAGTGTAATCAAACTTCATTTGTTGATACATACTGATGTAAGCTATTCAACTGCATCAACATTTTTTGACCTTGACCTTTCTTTTAACCTTGACCTCACTTTTCTTAAATTAGTGTTTAGCTCAGTTTTAATGAAACCATTCAAGATATTTTTAACAAACTTCATATGCTGATACATACTGATGAGAGCTATTCAACTGCATCAGTATTTTTTACCTTGACCTTTCCTTTGACCTTGACGTCACTTTTCTTAAATAAGTTTTTAGCTCAGTTTTAAAGATACCATTCAATATAGTGTTATCAAACTTCATATGCTGATACATACTGATGAGAGCTATTCAACTGCATCAACATTTTTTGACCTTGACCTTTCTTTTGACCTTGACCTCACTTTTCTTAAATTAGTGTCAAACTTCATATGCTGATACGTACTGATGTAAGCTATTTAACTGCATCAACATTTTTTGACCTTGACCTCACTTTTCTTAAATTTGTGTTTAGCTCAGTTTTAAAGAAACCATTCATAATATTTTTATCAAACTTCATATGCTAATACATACTGATGTAACCTTTTCAACTGCATCAACAGTTTTTGACCTTGACCTTTCCTTTGACTTTGACCTCACTTTTCTTAAATTAGTGTCAAACTTCATATGCTGATACATACTAATGTAAGCTATTCAACTGCATCAATTTTTTTTCACCTTGACCTTTCCTTTGACCTTGACCTCACTTTTCTCAATTTGTGTTAAAATGTTGCATTACTAATATACCCTCAGCGGGGCATTCATGTCCTATGGACATATTTCTAGTTTTGTTTCTTTTTAAACCCAATACTTAGCTTATTGATCACATAAAATAGAATTGATTTTGGATGGTCTACAGTCAGAGTCGGACTTTGAGCCCCTGAGTGATGATGATGATGAAACAGTGGTTCCAGTGAAGTCAAAGGACATAGAAATCTCAGAAAAACAGGAGGTGGATCCTAGTATTTCTACCATTACCTCAGATGCCTCCACATTCTATGTGGAGGAGGAACCGGACCCCAGGGAGTCTGGTGTGGCCTGGCTGACCAGGAACGTCACTGTCCAGTATTGGTGTGGTCAAAATCAACCAGAGGATCCAGAATCCACAGAAAACTTAAAGAAAGACTGGTATTTAGCTGTTCCTTAAAATGCAGATAGTGTATAAGCTAATTTTTAAGAACACAAAAATTTACATGATTGTTTAACTTCTATGTTTTTATGATAAAAAAAATTCCTTATGCCAGTGGACCATTAAAAATCATTCAAATAATTTTTATGATTCTGATATTAGAACAAACCTCACAAATTTAGGTCACCTAAGCCAGAGGTTCAGGTGAGCTTTTTTATCATAGTTTTTTGCATTTCTGTTAAGTTTTTAAGATATGCTCCGGACAAGAGATCTCGGACGGACGGACAGTCTGATCACTATAGGGCGCCCGCAGAGCAGGGCCCTAATGAATGTATATGCAAGCACCAAAAAATTTGTTCAAAACTGTGAAGGTGGGACCACAAATGATGTTGAAGTTATGAAGAGAGAAATTTTTTTTTTTTAACATATTCTCCTTAAGACCTTGAATGAGAAGAGATATGGCTTTTATATTTCACATGTACATTACCTGTGACAGGACCTTTCCAAACGTACTATGATTTTTGACCCTGTGACCTAGAGGTTTGAGCTAATTTTTAAAAAATTTTAATATTGGTTATAACTTTTAAATGAAAAAATATAAGGGTTCATAATGTACATGAATTTTGTTAATTCTGATTTTTCATACAATACATTAAAACTTGCCTAATCCGGACGCCACTGATCCCATAAAGGTTAGCCAGATAAGACAACATTTCAGATTAGACAGCATTTTACAAAATTGAATTTACTGATAGGGGGCTTAAAGTTTACATATTAAGCCAAATAAAAAAAATATGTGTGGTTCCGGTTACCCGACCTTCCCTATTTTATACCCCCGACCCTAAACTTTTTTTTGGCAATTTTCATATTTTTTCCAAAATTTCCCCCGATTTCCATCAATGGCTCCAGTTTAAGTTTTAGTTTCAGCAATGACGGCCTCCTTGCAAAACATAGTGCAAGTGTTTGATAGTGTTAAATCCAAAGCGAGCTAGCATGTAGGTGTCCCCTACCAATATTGACTAGTATATTATCACACCACATCTAAATGCCATTTGCAAAGCAGTGATAGGTATTATTTAGAAAAAAATTAAGAAAATCATTTTGTTAAAAAAAAAAAACAAAAAAAAACAAAAAAAAAACTACCTACCTACCCTAATTTTTTTGGAAGTGTAACCGGAACCACACATATTTTTTTGTTTGGCCTTAGGCAAGATATCTGGATTAGACAATGTTCACTTTACATACATATGTCTGTTTCAAGAGATTTTCAAAATTGGACTTTTATGGGCAGGGATTTGTCTAGAATGGAAATGTGAGTCAAGTGAGCATCATGGGGAATGGACTTGTTACGTGTGTGATGGAGAATATGATTGATGAACTCAGTACCAGTAAACTGACACTTGTTAATTCTATTACTACAGGCAGAAGTACAGAGAAGCTACTGACCCAATCTACACCAATAAAGACAGTGTCACAATGTCAGAGATTCAGCTTCTTAGAGAAGTTCTGTGGTAAGAAGTGGTAAATAATAACTACCTCAATCAAGATAATGTCACAATGTCAGAGATCCAGCTTCTAAGAGTTCTTTGGTAAGAATTGGTAAATAATAACTACCTCAATCAAGATAATGTCACAATGTCAGAGATCCGGCTTCTAAGTGAAGTTCTGTGGTAAGAATTGGTAAATAATAACTACCTCAATCAAGATAATGTCACAATGTCAGAGATCCGGCTTCTAAGTGAAGCTCTGTGGTAAGAAGTGGTAAATAATAACTACCTCAATCAAGATAATGTCACAATGTCAGAGATCCGGCTTCTAAGAGAAGTTCTGTGGTAAGAATTGGTAAATAATAACTACCTCAATCAAGCTAATGTCACAATGTCAGAGATCCGGCTTCTAAGTGAAGTTCTGTGGTAAGAATTGGTAAATAATAACTACCTCAATCAAGATAATGTCACAATGTCAGAGATCCGGCTTCTAAGTGAAGTTCTGTGGTAAGAATTGGTAAATAATAACTACCTCAATCAAGATAATGTCACAATGTCAGAGATCCAGCTTCTAAGAGAAGTTCTGTGGTAAGAATTGGTAAATAATAACTACCTCAATCAAGATAATGTCACAATGTCAGAGATCCGGCTTCTAAAAGAAGTTCTGTGGTAAGAATTGGTAAATAATAACTACCTCAATCAAGATAATGTCACAATGTCAGAGATCCGGCTTCTAAGAGAAGTTCTGTGGTAAGAATTGGTAAATAATAACTACCTCAATCAAGCTAATGTCACAATGTCAGACATCCGGCTTCTAAGTGAAGTTCTGTGGTAAGAATTGGAAAATAATAACTACCATGTCACAATGTCAGAGATCCGGCTTCTAAGTGAAGTTCTGTGGTAAGAATTGGTAAATAATAACTACCTCAATCAAGATAATGTCACAATGTCAGAGATCCGGCTTCTAAGAGAAGTTCTGTGGTAAGAGGTGGTAAATAATAACTACCTCAATCAAGATAATGTCACAATGTCAGAGATCCGGCTTCTAAGAGAAGTTCTGTGGTAAGAATTGGTAAAAAAGAAGTGGTGAAAGTGGTAAAAAAGTACATCAATCAAGCAAGTGCCACAATGTCAGAAATTCAGCCTCTAAGAGTTTTTGGTAAGAAAGTGGTAAAAAATACTAAAAACAGTGTCACCATGTCAGAGATTCAGCTTCTAGGAGTTTTGTGGTAAGGAAATGGTTAAAAAAAATAGACCAATGAAGACATTGTCACAATGTCAGAGATTTAACTTCTGAGAGAAGTTCTGTGGTAAGGAAGTGGGAAAAAAGTACATAAAAGAAGATAGTGTCACAGTGTGAGAGATTAAGCCTCTAAGAGTTTTATGGTAAGGAAATGGTAAAAAATAGACCAATGAAGACATTGTCACAATGTCAGAGAAATCAAGCTTTATATGAGAAGTCTGTAAAGGAGGAGATAGCATATTTTCATGTAGTGACTGATAGTTATTAAAAAATACTGTATAACGGGAGTATTTAGCGATCATCTGATTTTTGCATTAATAGCGATGGATTTGGTATTGCTAAAATCAAGGGTCAGTAATAATTCAATCACACCTATTGTATAAGAAAATAAAGTTATTCCTAAAATTGTTAAATATTAACTAAGCTAATAATAATAATTGGCCACATTTTAAACAAAAATTGCTAACTTGGCTAAAATAAAACAATTATATGGCATTAAGAAATTGATTACTTATGCTTTGCTTTAAATTACTGATAAGTGACTGTATAAGATGCAGTAAAAATAATTCACCTCAATGTACATGCAGTGCTAATTTTACTTTCAGGATACTAGCAGGTGTCACAGATTCCTTTGTATTTATTCTACATGGAGATGAATTCATTGTGCGAGAAAACATTTTTGTTCAACATCTGACTGATGTAAGTTTTATACTTAGAAAGAAAGATTCTTTTTTTTCAGATTTATTTTAATTAATTCAACTACATGACCCTACCATGTTTCCTTTCCAAAGAACTACCAATAATTGTTTTTCTTTTATTAAGAGATTACAAGTCACTTTGATATTCTGCATGTATCTTTATGTCCATATTGTATGTTTGATAAATAGGATTTTATGAAAAGTTATTGGTCTGCAAAATATATAAGCTATTTTAGATAGAAGATTCTGTGAAGTATTACTATTTCATTGGTCTTTCACAGAACTCTCTGAAGAGTTACCTATCCTGTTTTGCTCGGTATGGTTCCTACGTTCAGCACCTGTTATGTTTTGAGGAGGAGGCTATTTGTGGGTCATATGACCTGTCGATTACAGACAATAATAATCTTACATGTCAGACTTATCAGGCCTTTGCCAATGCCATCTCCAACTTCATCAAGAGTCTGAGGAAAGAACTGACTCAGCTAGAGAAAAGAATGACCAAACAAGGTATTATAAAGTTGTAATCAATTATCCCAAGCTGTTTGAATATGAGCATTTAATCGTTTATGTGTTCTTTATATTTTGCCTTGCCTGTACATGTATTTTCTTCCTGTGAACATTGTGTTCGTCTTCATAGAAATCAACCAAGAACTCATTCTTTGATACTGTAAATCACTTTTTTTTGTGAAAACTTTATTTTTGCATAATTATACGAGACTGTCTGGATGCAAAAATTTTTCCTCACATATATTCTATTCATCAAGATTATATTCAACAGTAATGAGAATTCATGAAAAATTCTTGCTAATAAATACCAAATAACTATCTCGTGAAATTAAGGTGTCAGGAAAATTTGGTGATCTACAATATCAGAAACTGCTAAAAAAAAAATTGCTGAAGTTTATCTTTTGTGGTGGCACCTTTCGTACTTCTTTGAATTTATTTGAAAAACAAGGGCATAAACAAGTCTCTAACTCCTCTGAACGTTTTTCTCTTCTAGAGCAGACAATGACTTTAGCCATGCTCCATGGAGATTTGTCACCATGGTTAAAAAAGATTGAGTTGATACACTCTTTGTATGTCCGAGGAATCCAGGAAGCTGATTGGATGGTCAATAATTGTCAGAGGGCGTCTCATTTACTCAGCGGACTGTTCGAGGCTGTGGTGGAATATGATACCCTCGGACAGAATGCCTCAGATGTTGTAAGTAAAATTTCCTCAGAATTTTACTTCTAAATCATTATACTGTACTTGAATTACATAATTATGGCATGGATAGTAATCTACAAATTTTGTTTTCTTGCCCTTGTAGGTAGAGCTTCTAATACCATTGTGGATTCAAACAACCAAACCATATATAGAGGTGATTGATGAGTGGATTACAAACGGCAATCTAGTGGACCCAAGATCAGAGTTTATCCTGAAAAGGTACAGTAAAACTTTGGTATCTGGAACCTTGATTTTTCAAACACCATGTACATGATTAAGTGAGGTAGAAGTTCTTGCCACTTTTCTTTGTGTATTTCCTCAATTTTTCTAATCCTTGGATATCTCAAACTTTTTTTTTGGCCTCATAAAGTTCAAGATAATGAGGATTGACTGTATTTCTTTAAGCCCCATGCCACTCTCTGGTTCCCCATAAGTTTGCAGGATGCAGAACAAATGAATGCATCTTGAAAATTTGTTGAGACATTTCTAGTGTACTTCTTTTTACGCTTCGTTTTGTAGGTTCAAATTGGATGTCAATGGAAAGTTTCTTTGAATTCTTAATTCATCAGATTTTCAATTGTTGAATATATAATATGAAATGAATTCCAGAAATGAGAATGTGAAATCTTTGGATGAGAGTTTTTGGGAGACTGCATTTACTATACACATACCAGAGGATTCTGCCCTACCCAGTGAAATCCACGAGTCTCAACATACCGTCACGGAAAAAAGCAAACCAAACAGCAGCAGAAAATCTGTAGACAAGTCAGCAGGTATTTGTTATAATCAGTGTGAACCTGTCTAATTTACAAATAATGATCTAGAAGTTAAAGGACATGTTTATGAATCTAGAAGTTAAATGACATATTTATGAAATGATATGTAGCTGATTATGGCCACTTTAAATGAGTGTGATGCACTGTTAATTAGAATACATGCCTTTGTAGCTGATTCAGAATCATTTTATTTTGCCTGAAATTTATAGATACTGTATGATGTAACAATGGTGGGGAAATGGAGATTTCAATTTGATATTGTTAAAGTGCAATTAAAAATAGGGGATGCATCTGTATATGTTATTTTTGCAAAAATTGTGGAAAAGTTACTTTTCAGCACAAGATGTACATTATACTTCAAATTAAGGTGTTATGCCCAAGCATATTCTGATCAATCTAGCTGCTTATAGACCACAAAATTAGAACTCTTTAGTGTGCAGTCTGTGTAACATTATTTCTCTATTTGATGCCTATGTTCCATGCGTAAGATTCTTTTTGGTTTGCCTTTTGAAACATTGAAGAAAAGGACATTCATTATAAACAAAAGCAAAAATTTTCAGTGTACAGAATATTAATTGCTGGAGTATTGTAGGATCCTCTCATTGGGCCCCTGAGTTCTTGGAGCCTGTTATTTTAGAAGTCGTCCTGGCTGGCAAGTCCATGGAAATGATACAAGACCTTGGCAAGCTGGCTGATGTTTGTGGAGGTACGTCCTGCAAAAATAACAAAATATAATTTAACACTGTATGATTGTTATCAGTAGAGAACCAGGGGTAGGGATTGAGGAAAAGTTTATTGGGAAATCTTTGTTGTATTCTCTATAATTGCTAACTAACCTGTTTTTTAAGTGAGATGTTTTGAAAAAAGAAATGAGGACTATGATGCCAGGGCAATATTTGCATAAATAAAATTGAGGCAGATCAAACGTAAACAATTGGAGCGCAATATGTTTTAATAGGCAAAGACATTTTGCCAAAGAGAAACTGGAATTAGGTCTTAATGCTTGCATCTTCTCTATATCTTGTCTAAATGGGAAAAAGATAAACATTCAAATTAATTTCAAAATGTTAGATGATAAGGACACAAAACTTCATGGTTTTTCATCTGATGATACATTATTTATTGAAGTAAAAGTAGCGTGTTTATTGTTTCGATCATAATTTTTCTTGAAATATACATGCTTAGTTTCCTACATATGATCAGTTGTCAAATGTTAGCAATTTGGACAGGTCCTGTATGTGTACTTAAAAAAAACAGGCTTTATGTTTTAGCAGCTTTGCAGCAGACAGCAATACGCTAATTTATGAATACCGTTAATAAATCATTAATGAATTCATCACACTGTGGACTAATTCATGATTATGCCAACCACTCAATGCCCAGTGATTGCACTAAATTTTGAATATTTATGTACACCTACTGTATATTATCCTGATAAAGTTCCTATGAATTACAAATATTTAATGACAAAATCTTTTAATGTATGCTTGTTTTCTGATTAACAGTAAAAAGAGAAAAGTCCCTGTACACATTGTTTTTGGAATCTCTCCAAGAACTCTTAGGAACACGGCCGCATGAGGATTTTATAAAAGAACCTCCTCCAGACCTGAGCATGTATCCGGAACAAGTCGACCGACAGATGAAAATAAAGGGAATTCATGATCCATTGTTAAAGATTAACTTTATGAACATCTTTCATGCTTGTAATGTCAGACTCCATGGACCCATAGAGGAGGAAGACCAGGATAGTCAGTAAGTACTGGTGTAAAGTGTAATGAAATACAGTATTTAACATACTGGTATCTTAAAAATAATTTACAAGTATTTATATTGTATACAGATTTGGATTTACTTTACCTCTGTTTTAGGATGTTGAGTGTTCTGGAGACAGAGAGGTTACAGCCCATTAACCTTATCCTTAAGCAGTGCCTGTACCCCCACATCACCCAGAAGTACTCCAAGGTCTGTACTTGTCTTGTCCAGATCCTCAAGGAGGAGTACAATCTGATGGGTTACCTGGCAGCTATGAGGGTAAGTGACCAGTATACTCTAGGATTTGTACTTGTCCAGGTCTCACACAGGAGTGAAGTCTGACTGGCTATCTATCAGCCATGAGAGTAAGTGACCAGTGTCCTGTAGGGTCTGTATACTTGTCCAGATCTCACACAGGATTACAGTCTGACTGGCTGCTGTGGAATCATCATTGTTCGTAGGGAACCAATGTTTTGAGGATTTTGTGGGTCACCCCCACAAATTAAAATGATTCCACACTAGACAAGCCTAGTGTCTCTTGAAAATTAAAGAAATTGTAGAGCTCTTATTTGAGAAAAGTTGGTTTTTTACTTGAACTGGTTATGGAACTTATATATTTTGTACATACATGAAGGTGAAAAGCTATAGTCATCCGAAAAATAAGACACACAAAACACACTGTGCAACTGATTTACAATAACAGCATAAATATTAAAAATCAATTATGAAGAAAATGCTCTCAAATTATAAAACATTTGCCATTGACAAAGGGTTTTGCATTTTAAAACACAGCCCATGATTGTTTTTTTTTTTGTGTTTCTTTTCAGCATTTCTTTCTGATGGAAGCTGGGGACACCATGTTTGATTTCTATTCACCTATATTTGACAAGGTATGGAAGGAAAATAACTTCTTAGCTATGTACAAATTTCACATTATGAAAGATGTGGTATTAAGAGAGACATCTTTTCAGATCCGTCTGAACACTCATTGGCGAGACATTTCTACTGTAAACCTAATTCTACAGGAAGCTTTACAAGCACATTTCCCTGAGGAATCCAGGCGGTAATGTCACCAATATTTAATAAAGTGTGATTCAAAATACATGAAGGAATTTAAATACTGTACATGTGACTTCTACAATGAACATATGACTATGAACATATTATAGCTTCTTGTCGATCATTTCAGATTGTACGTTAGTATTGAAGATTTGCCAAAAGATAGACATCCCATCAATATTACAGACTGCATCAAACTCCATTACAAGGTATCGCATTGTAAAAAATAAAACAAGGTTTTTAAAAATAATTATCCTGATGCTATGCATGTGAAAACTTGAAAAATGTATAGAGTATTCAGCATTAACTTTTACTACTTTTACCGTGTATATAGGTGTACACAGACCTGTTTACTCTTACGATTTCGCCGTATTTTGTACGGATTTTCAGTCCAAAATACGTCTTACGTTTTGCTATAACGAAAATACGGAAGTCCGTTCATATGGATTTTAGCAATTAGTTTTCGTTATCTGTCTCAGTTTGACGCTTTTTAATCGCTAAAGAAGAGAAAATTTTCAAACATTTAAGTTGCCAAAACGCGGTGGTTTAAAAAATGACAGAAATCACTCAAAAGAGAGCAGTGTATGATGTTTTGCTTTGTTATTAAACCATGTATTGGTAATCAGAAATGTAGTTGTTTTCTAGTAATATATGTACAGTCGATGAAAAGTGAAATCTTACGGGCAAATGACAAATCTCACTGACAAATCTAATGAAAAATACTGAGAGACAACAATTTGGGTAAACAGGTCTGTGTACAGTATATTTATGAATTAAAGAATGAGGGTGTTTTATCTTTGATTTTAAACTGCATTATGAATCTTTGAACAGGTTCCCTGGCCGGTGGATGTGGTCATCAGCTCTAAGTGTCAGGCCATATACAACCAGATCTTCACCTTCCTTCTGCAGGTCAAACGAGCCAAATACTGCCTCGACGAGTTACGATTCTGTGGTGTGTATATTCCAATATTATAGAAAGTTATGATTGACAAATTATTTTTTTACATATACTCTTTTTGCTTGCTTGATATAAAAATTCAGTTTTTGGATAAAGTCTGTATATTTACATGATGAGTGCATATATAACTAACAATTATCACATAAGTGTGATAAATTGTTCTTGGCCTATTCATGAAGTTTTACAGCATTCTAACCACACCTAAATTACATTTCATGGATTAAAATTGTTTAAGCAAGTGATTTGCCAAGCAAGAGATTAAGTTTCTTGATGATGTAGAATTTATATCTTGGATGTAACCAAGTAAAATTGTCTTTGTCTTAGACTTGGAAAAAGACAGTGTCCTACACAGCCACTCAGGAACAGAGTTCTCCCTTCACCTGGACGAGGACATGCCAAGAGAGGGGAGGATCCATAGAATGCACATACTGAGAATGAGGCTGACCTACTTTGTCAATAGTCTCCATAACTACATCATGACAAGGGTATTTTACTTACTCTGAATAACAAATAGCACCTAATATTAGTAGGTAGTCATAATAAATAAGCTATTTCTCTATTGAATTTTTCTTTTCTGGATTTTCTTGAGTTTTAAATTCATTGTCTACAACTCTGTGTAAGTTTTACTTTTGCAGATTTTGCACAGCACAGGCATCGAATTTAAACAAGACCTGGAGAAAGCTAAAGATCTGGATCAGATTATAGCTGTTCACAATAAATATGTGAATACAATACACGAGAGATGTCTGCTGCACAAAATGGTGAAGCTCCTCAAACAGGCTGTGATGAACGTTCTCAATCTCATTCTGAATTTCCAGGCCCTTTGGGATGAAGGCATTCAGGAAATAAGGTGATGAAAGCGATCTTGTTACTGAAGATACACTTTTATGTGGAAATTTTTATCTAAAATAACATAGCTTACCAGATTTAGTTATAAATTTGCCCAGCAAATTTTTTCCTTAGAGAAAAGGAAATTCGTAAAATTAAAATATATCTATATATAACAAGCAAATTTAGAAAATTGTGGTGCCCCACTTTTGGGGTCTTCCTGGTTTGTGTGCAGTGATTTATGGTATATTGTAACTGTCTTGTTGGTCCTGGCTTGTCTGTCCATCATGCAAAAAAAAATTTGTATTTTGAAAGCAATGTTCTGGTACAAAAAGTATGGAAATCTTGAAATTCAAACTGGTTAACGTCATGAGATAAAAAAAAAAAGACAGTTTATTTTGAAATATCACAAGTAATGCATGTGAAAAAAATATGAAAGACTCATCTCTTTTTGGGTGCAAAAGTTACTGCCATGGTTAAATTTTTTTGAGAAGTAGGTTAAACTTCAAGGTCAAGGGGTAAAAAATTATGCACATTCAGAAAAGTCATAATGCGGTTGAGGTAGCCTAGTCGTAGGATGGCTTCATGATCAGGAGTAACTGGCATTAGATGTGAAAGTCTTTCAGATATAAAATATGTAGGCATCATGTCACCGTAGGCGTTGGCATGATAAAAGAACCCTCACTGCTCAATCCCCCTGAGTGGAGAGTGTAGGTCGAAATTTAAGCCCTTCAGTGGTATTTGGTGATGTCTTATATGAGTGAAAAATTCTCGCAAGGGATAAAACAATAATCAACCAATTAAGCTACAAGGAAGGACTTTCAATAAGATTAGAAACAGGGAGTACATTTACCAATATAGGAGGTATCTTGTGGAAGCAATTTTAATATGTTATCAAATTCTTTTCCATCAAATATTTTGGCTGGTACATGTACAATCATGATTTCAGCTGGGTAATAGTACTAGGTACCGACAGATTTTGAAAGGTCTTGTACAAGGTATTTGAAATGTATCTTAATATATAATTTTCAGCTTGAAGACCATTGAAGGAATGGAGATAGAGTTTTCTAGGTGTATTCTGTTCCTTTCCACATTTCTCAACAATGTTATCAAAAGAGGGTCATTTCCACATTGTTAGTATTCAACTTTTTATTCCATTTTTTTTTTAATTTCTAAATATTTGCTACTGCTGCACCTGTGAAAAGATTCAAGATAAATGAATTCTGAATATTTTTAAAATACGTACCGTAAAATCACTTAATTTTCATGGGAGTTTAATTTTCATTGTTTTCCTGTATGAAACCCACAAATTCATGTTACCCACAAACTGTAAACAATGCCGCATTTCTACAACCACAAAGTAAAATTCACTTGAACCAATATTTTTTCCTCAAACCTCGAAAATTTGGCCCCTCCAAAATATGTAATTTTACAGTATTTGTAAAATCTTAACATTGGCAGTTTACAATACTTCATAGGATAAAACATTTGTTTTCTTTGGCATTGTTGTCTCATGAAATTTGATGGCGTACTTTCTGTTGTAGTGGAATCACTTGCGTTTGCTTTAGTAACATCAACAGAACATTTAACAAAGGGAAGAGCACACGTGACGTAGTGATGTCTGACTGATGCTGTAAGGTCTATCACTTTCTCCAGAGACATTCAGGGATTATATGGAATTTGTTTTACTTGTCAGAAATATCTGTGATATTTAGAAATTTTAATACTTGATGAATAATAAATTAGTTTGTTGAACCATCATATCTTTTTCTCTTAATGCCAAGTATTTGTAATAAATAATAAACCCAAAGCTCTCAAAATGATAAACTTCAGCATAATTCTTTCCTTTCCAAATTTTGACCTTGTATGCGAGGGATGATCAAAAAGTTCGTGAACTAATTGAATAACTTCCTTAAAAAAATAAAATTGAGGGTTCAGTGTTCAGTATTTTTTAAAGTAGACCTCTCCGATTTTAATGCACATCTGCCATTGTTATGCCCATGCGCGAATCACGTGATCCAGGCGGTCACGTGACATGCTTCGTAGCGGTCTGTTCACAGAAGCTAAGAGATTTTTCCGAGTCTTATATTTCTTACCATGCAAGTAATTTTTTATAACAAGAACAGACCATCTGCCATAAATGGCCAAATCTCGGCAATAGGATGAGTGGATAAGGATATCCCTTCCCAGAATTACCATGGTGACCATCACAATCCGAGTCCTCTGTCTCGAGAGCGTCGTTTATCCAATGTGGAAAAGTATGGGCGTCTTTTCTTTTTTTCATATCTCATAAGTTTAAAGTCTAAAGTAAACGATATTTCAGGGATTTAATAATTATATTATTGCTCAGATATTCAACTATTTTTCTTACTGTAACTTGGCGATCTTTCAAAATAAATTGCTCAACTAAGGACACATCTTTTTACCGGTTTGCTTTTGCTGGTCAACAGAACAAACAGCATTTTTAACCATCTCCCTGCCTTCATTAAAACATTCAATCCAATTAATGATTGAACTTCTGGTAAGTCTTGTCTTTATAAGCCTTATACAAATTATCATATTCTACTGCAAAGAAATTTCCGAGATATATGTTAAACTTTACAGCCGTTCGTTGCTCGAGTACGACTGAGTCAACCATTTTTTGTCACAAGTGACCTACATACTGATGTCATTTTCACATTGTGACGTCACAAACACGGAGGAAAACATTATTTAATATCTGCTATTTATAGAACATGTGTATGACTATATGTGTGCCAAATATCATTCTGATCTGAATTGCGATTTTTTAAATATAGAGATAGTTCGTGAACTTTTTGATCACCCCTCGCATGTTACCTTGGATAAGGTGCAGGACACAAGTTACAAATAATTTTTTTTGCAAGGCATGTGCTACCGAAATGTCCCATTAAAATTAACAATTTTTCTGCCACTGAATTTGCCAAATGGCTTCCAGTGTTTCTTCACAGCCTAGACAGAATTTATACTCCATCTCAAATTACAATTTGTTAAGAACCATCTGAAAGTAAAGAAAGTTTGAATGTAATTGGTATGTTGTTTGGGAACTTCAAAAGGCCATAAATTTTCTGATATAATCTGTGTCCTGACCTTGATACAAAACCATTTTGATAAGTTCAAGATCACCGCTAAGATCAAAAGAACAGCATTTATTTTAAATTGCACCATTCAAACGCAATTTGTTTTCTCTAACATAAGGTACATGAAGTTTCTGCTTTGAAATGATTCTTAAATAATATAATGAAATATCATAACTAAATGATTTGTTTTTTGTAGATAAAATCAAAGAACTAACTGGAATCTTTTACAGGGAATTCTTCCAAGAAATGAAAAAAAAAATATTTTGAAAATTATAACCATAGAACATGTACACAACGCAGATATGTGAACTTCAAAAATACACATACATTTAGAACAATATCAAACCATTCAGTGGTCAGTTTTACGTTTTTTGCCTTTGTTGAGAATGGCATCTATAGTACGTTTGTACTGGTTTGAGAGAGTTGATGGTTGCAGTTTTGGTACACTAGGAATTTCCAGTACAGGCATTCCCCTGTTAGCGGCACAAACACTTGTCTTGTCTCTATATAACAACTTCAATGTGCTCTGGTCGTTTCCACATGGTGAATTTGTTGAAGTGTTTGATTTCCCACATTTCATCTCTTTGTTAATGGACGTAGTGTTTGTGGAAGGCATTTCTAAATCGTCATCATCATTTACAGCCAGAACTGACACAGTTTTAGGTAGAGAAGTATCAGGAAGATATTCGTCTACAAGACTAGCCACAGAGTTGACAGATTTCACCCTCTTGTTGCGAATGATCAGAGTTGTGGTTGGCAGACATTTTACAGATGGTCTCTCTTTGTAATCCTTATCCTCTGTGTCATCTTCTGAGTCTGAGAACAGATCTTTGTCTCCATCATCACGTGAAACACTCTCCACGGAGGTCTGGGAAATCTAGAATGATTAAAAACAAATTGAAACTTTCAGATTAACACTTGTAAGCTCATTTGAGCCAAAGACTCAAAGAGTCCCATATCTCAAGAACCCCATGGCCAATTTTTGTAAAATTTGTCACAGAGTATCTTTGGCCCAAGGGTACTGTACTAACAAGAGGCTAAGGGCCTTAACATTCACCTGAGTATAATATACCATTAATTATCATAGGTGAATAATCAAAGGGAAATAACTTCTCTCAAAGTAGAGTAAAGGTTTCCTTACATGTTCAAAAGAGCCCTCCCCATACACCAGAATTCCTAACCCAGTGGTCATGTATTTCACAAAAACACCTTTGCTAATTACTGGAAGTACTGGGAGCGAACTCACAAAAAATACCCCCTGCTGCAATTTTTTAAAAGTGCCTATTTGCAATTTTGTAAATGTGACCTTGAATTTGCCAAAATGACCTTGGTTAAAAAAATTACACATCCCCTGGTCATAGGTAATCTTTGAGTGAGACATGGACATCCAGTGTATCCCCATGAGGAAACTATAGAACTGTCATGAATTTTTCAATTTTCTGTCAGTGACCTTGAACTGTTCAAAATGACCTTGGTTGAAGGTCATAGCATATCCTCATGTCATAAACAATCTTTGTACTAAATTTGAGCTTCTAATGATTCTTCATTACAAACTTATAGTGCAGACGAATTTTTATACCTTTTCTGCCAGTGACCTTGAACATGCCAGAATGACCTAGGGTGAAGGTCAAGCCAAACCTGCAGTTCATAAACAAATCTTTATACTATGAGCTTCCAATGATTCCTCCATTACAAAGTTATGGCCAGGACAAGATTGCATGAACAGACCGACAGCTAGTCAGACATACAGATGGACAAGGTGATTCCTAAATATCCCACCCCAAATTTTTATAACCATACCTGATTAGCCTGCTAGATGCCTAGTAGCAGAGAATAAGATTTCTAAAAAAAATTATGCAATTTCACTATATGATTAATAGAGTCCCACCCTTACACCAGAACCCCTGTCCCAGGGCCATGAATTTCACAATTTAGGTAGAGGCACCCTTGCTTATCAAACCCATTTACATGTAATTGGTTTGTCTACTAAATAATCAGGAGCAGAGAAAAAATTTTACAAACAATGCATTTTCACTATATGATCAATAGAGCCCTGTCCTAGCACCAGAATCCCTGATCCAGGGGCCATGAATTTCACTATTTGATGGATGGCTCAATGCTCATTATAATCATGCTAACAGTTTGACTGCTTGATGTCCAGGAGTAAAGCAGAAGAGTTTTGAAGATTGCATTAATTTTGATGGTTTTGGCCCCATCCCTCAGGCCCCTGGGGGGCAGGAATCATTAAATTCACAAATTCCCCCTTTTTTTGTCCCCATAGATGTTATACACCAAAATTGATTAAAATTGGTTCAGCAGTTCCAGAGAAGAAGCTGAAATTGTTAAAATGTTAATAGATGCCTGACAACGGACAAAAACAGATTACAATCATTATGGGTCACCCTAGTGGACTAAAAATACGGAATAGGCCCTTAAACAATAGCTAAATATAAACAAAAGTAGTGGTTGCTAGGAAATCTCCAGAACCACTGGGCAGATTATCACCAAACTTAGGAATAAAGATGAGGATATAATGTAGATTAAAAATTGTTTAAGGCATCATTCTGGGGCAAAGGGCATGGTCTCAAGCTTACTTCAAAGTTGACCTTAAATTAACTTTGATATTTTGCCCACTATAAAGACTAGGATGATCAAATCTTGTCAGTTGATGAATCTTAGGACCTTGTTGTGTCATATTGACTCAAAAGTACGTCGTGATGAACTACTTTGTGAATTCTGATGCCTATCTTGGACACTTTGAAGCTTATGATCATCAAAAGTTGATAGTTTATTCATCATGGAACCTTGAAGTGTGTCAACCAAAAAATAGATCACTGTGACTAACTTTCTGAATTTTATGGCTTATCATTTTCGAAACATTTAAGGTTTAGAATCATCAAATCTTGCACATTGATGATTTTTGGGGCCTTGAAACAGGTCATAGTGACTTACTTATGGAATTTTGAAGGTATTCCTTGCATATTTTGAACATTGTGAAGCCTTGGATCATCAAACCTTCTCAATTGATGCATTCTAAGGCCTCAGAGTATTTCAACTAAAAAGGTCACAGTGACCTACTTTTGAAATTTTATGGCTATACAGATATTTTAAAATTTCAAATACTAATTGGCTTAGAATCATAAAAATATGTGTCAGTTGATGCATCTTGAGTTCTTGGAGTGTGTCAACTAAAAAGTGCATGAACATGACCTACTTTTGGAAATTCATGGTTATATTTAAATATTTCAGATACTAATTGACTTAAATGATTATACTTTGATACTTGATGCATCTTGGGTCCTCTGAATGTGTCAACTAAAAAGTAGGTCATTGTGACCTACTTTTAAGATCTTCAGGCAATATCTAAATATTTTCAAACAATAAGAGGCTGAGAATCATCAAACTTTGTCATATAATGCATCTTGGGATCTCTGAGTATGTTAACCAAAAGATACTTTGAATTCACAGCTATATCTAAATATTTCAGATAATAAGAGGCTAAGAATCATCAAACTGTCAGTTAATGCATTTTGGGTCCTTGTAGTTACTAAAAGTAGGTCACTGTGAAACAATTTTGGAATTTTACACCTTTATCTTAATATTTAGGATAATAAGAGGCTTCAAATCATCAAATTTTGTCAGTTGATGCATCATATAGATGTATCAATGGACTGTGTCAACTAAAAAGTAGGTCATAGTGGCCTCCTTCTGGAATTTCATTGTGTATCTCAATATTGTAGATTAACTGAATGACAAAATTAATATTTCATGTCCTACCTGTTGAACATTCTGCAGAGGACTGCCAAAGGAGACACTTTTTCTCTTATAATCATTCTCTTGTCCTACATCTATCAAAAACACTTCTACATGTCATAATTCTTTTATATACACAGCCTCTTACAAATGGAAACAAAAAATCAAGCAATTCATATTAAATACATTTTTTATCAGACCATCAAAATGCAAAATATGGATGAGGAAAAATTCTTTAATAAAAATTTACCTTTCAAAATGCCCTTTTTATATCTGATGTCGCAATCTATAAATTATCAGATGAAATAATATTTACTTGTCAGCTTTAAAACAATCATCAATAACACATCAAAATGAAGTTTTTATATATCAATATTTTAGTGACTTGCCTGGTTCATCCTTACGTTGATTTAACTTGAGGCTTTCAACATCCCCTCTCTGTCCTTCATGTGTTGCTGTAGATTTTAAAGATCTGTTCAGAGAGTAAAATGTGTGTCTCTATCCATCTGATACATGAACTAGAATTTAATTTCTGGAGTAAGTCATAAATAAAAAAAAAAAAACAACTTACAAATCAATGGAATTAGTCTGACACAAAGTTGTTGTTGGATTTCTCAGTTTTGACAAAGACAACTTCAGTCTGGATCCTCCAGGACTCCTGGGAGATGTTCCACCAGTATTACTGGACTGATCAACTTCTTCAGTTTTGTTTCTGTCATTTCCACAATCAGCTGGCTCTGATTCACAAAGTCCTTGTTTGGTTGGACCATGATCTGAGGATATTTTGGTTTGTATATCTCTTTTGTTGTCAATATGATCTTTTCCAATACTCTCAGAGCAGATTTTAGGTTCAATATCTGTTTCCATTTTAGATTTGTCAGCTGGTACCTCACCAATCATTTCTGCTCCATCCTCTACAGTCCTGTGACCATCTCTCCATTCCACTGAATTGTCATTTTTTGAAATAGAAGTATTTTCTTTGCTTACATGTTCAGGGACAGATTGTCTGCTACTAGTTATCACTTTGCTGATATTTGATGAACTAGAAAATTGAAATGAATGTCTTTTAGCAACATTTTGGTGTTCCATATTGCTTTCTTGGATATCATCATCTGTAGAAGTTTGGATACTGTCTGCCTTTACTTGACGACTTGTCTCTGAGAGAGATGAATCTACTGTCATGGATTGACTGTTATCTTCAGAGACAAGCTGACTGCCAACATTTTGGAGCCGACTCTCATCAGCTGGCGGAGACTGACTAGTAATGACTGATTGAGCCTGACTCTCTGGCTGACTGACTGATTGTATATCTGTGTCCTGTTGTGATTGACTTGTCTTTCCTGACACAGTCTTTAAATTAAACTGACTACATTCAGCAAAGACTGACTCTGTTTGGCTAGCTAAAGACTGTTGACTGAGCATTTTAAGAGAACTAGTGGGAGGGGGTATACATTGGGAGAAGAGCCTCTCTTTGGAGTTGTACTTGATGATCTCTGCCTGGACTGACACATTGTGTAGTACAGCTTTGTCTGTCTGAGAGCTGGAGTTGGCTAGGGCGGGGTTCCTGGTTTGTGTTGTTGATACTGTGAAGTCTGGTACCAGTGTTTGAGAACTCTCTGTTCTCTGTGGGGCTGTGTTCGTCTGGACTGATATGTCTGCACGGATCACCTCCGTCTGACTCGCCTGTTCCACCATGTTCATACAGCTCAGTGATGTCTGCTGAATCTGCTCCTGTTTAGGTTTGTTCATTAGTTCCTATTTGTCACAAGAGAAGAAAACATGTCTGAACCACATCTCACAGGCATATATATATATATATATTTGCAATAAAAATAACAATATTGAGATTATCTTCTTTGGAACATACCTTGATGGAATGAAGTTGTTCTGTAAGTTGAATATTTTGATTTGACCATGTTGTATTTAACTCCTCCAAATCAGAACACGTCTTCTTCTGATCTGCTAACTCTTCAGTGATTTTATTCAATTCATCTTGAAGTTCTGAATTCTACATAATACATAACACATGCATTTTATTTTTCAGAGACCATTTTGAATGTGGTAACATACTTAATGTACAATGTATCCTTCAGTGGAATTCATATTTCTAAGTTACACACTTGTACACAATGACCACCAAAATATGATTTCATAAATATACATAACAAATGTATACACTGACAGCTATGTTACAGAACTGCACTAAATGCAGTGCAGAACCTAGTGATGCCTGAACTTTTGAATACTGTAGAATCATATTTGTAGGGGACCACATGTTTGTGGATTTTGTGGGTCACCCTTACTCCTGAATTTATATCCCCACAAACAATAACCTAGTCAATGTATCTCTCCACTGAATCTTCAGTATACTAGAGTTCCCCATGAAATCACATCCCCAATAACCATTAAGATTTTGTTTGTCTGTGAACTTGAACAAATTTTAATGATTCTACAATATGCTAAATTGGTTTACATGACAGTATACAGATTTTAATATATCCCAAGTAAGGTCAAGCTATACATTTTGTACATGTGTACATGATATAAACAATGGAGACAAAATGTGATGCTGTAATGTGATGATAGAAACAATGGTGATACTTGAGAGAATACAGTATGTTCCGTATATACTCGCCTATAAGTCCCTCCGCGTATAAGTCGGTTGTAATTTTTAAGATTAATTTTGAAAAATTAGCCATTGATCTGCTTATAAGTCGGTGCAGTTTTTTGCTATAATCTGTAAAGTTTCTGATTAATAATCTACTGTATTAACCAGAATTTTAAAGTATATATTGGGATATTAACACTTTAAACAAAAAAAGATCATTTAATCTCTAAGTACTTGTCTTATGTGCGTGTGGTAATATTTGATCTTCATTACTTGCATTAGATTAAGATCCCATCCTTACAAACAATTATCATTGGAGTTGTTAAAATATTACTATATTTCCTCTTCCAGAAAAAAATTCCAAATTTTCTAAGACTCGTCTATAAGACAGATCTAGACTTTTGGTTCAAAATTTAACTCCCAAAAATCCGACTTAAAGGCGAGTATATACGGTACACCAGAATATGTAATATTCATTCAAGAATATGTAATAAGTAAGACAAACCTTTTGTCTCCATTCTCTAGCTTCTTCTCTGTGCTGCTCAATCTGTGATCTTTTTTTAGCCTTGACCTCCTGCAGTTCACCTTTGACCTCTGACAGTTCCTTCTGTAGTTGTTCAATGACCAGTGTTTGTTGGGAGGAGTTCTTTTTATGTAGTTCAACATTTTTAATCTGACAAACCAGTAGTCTGTTTGTATCCTCCAAAATCTGGGTCACTTTCTACAAAAGATATCAACTGTTTGTATCCTCCAAAATCTGGGTCACTTTCTACAAAAGATATCAACTGTTTGTATCCTCCAAAATCTGGGTCACTTAATTTCTACAAAAGATATCAACTGTTTGTATCCTCCAAAATCTGGGTCACTTTCTACAAAAGATATCAACTGTTTGTTAATTCTGCATAGTCATCTACATGGTTTATTGTTAACTACTGCATTAATGTTGCTGGAGAGGGGAAAAATAATATCCTCTGACTCATGTAAAATAAGAGAACCTGATTGGTTTTTCAAACATTCCTATACCATACAGATACATGCAATAATGTAACAATGGACAACATTTAAAAAATCATAAATTGTCAGCCACATTTAATTTTTGCAGTTACAGTTCATTTTCTTTTTTGGATGGAATCATTTGAGCCTTAAGAATAAAACAGATGAGTTGGATACAGAGCAACTGTTATAACTATAATTATATTGTCTCTAAATTAAAATTTAGTATAAAGGAATAAATATGGCAAGTAATTGAGGATAACAAATTTTAAATATGTAATTAATACTAGCTATATATAGCTAGGACTGAGATAAATGACAGAATGAGTATCATTATAATAGAGTTCTGAACAAGTCCAATGTTTCACATATACAGGCTTTGAGAGATAATCAGCTAGCGCTCATTAAAAATAGTCTGTACAAGTTTTCCCCTTTCCTATATGACTGTAATATCAGTGAGAGATATTACAGAATCGGTATCAATTACGGACATTAAGGACATACACAATGTACTTAAAAAATTGTAATCTACTGGTTATATTCAGGATAATATCCGATTAAAATCATACTACCATCAGATGTTCCTAAATAAAAAATCAGCATACATTACCAGGGATTTTGAAAAGATGATTGACCAAATGATGAAAATCCTTCTGTTTTTCAGTAAAAAAATATACAAAAATCACCAAGTATATAATTTTTGTTAAAATCTCCTCAAAATATAGAGGAGGTAAACAGCTTCCTAAGGATTGAAAACTTACTGGAACTCTTCAATTACAGAAAATATCACAAAAAGTTCAAAACTATGTTGCATATGTCCTCTTTAAAGGTAAAAAAGCTATCTCAGTTTGAAATTTATTTTTGAACTCTGGTGTGGTAGATGAAAATGCATGTCCTGGTAAAATACTGTAATTTGTTGGGGATTATTACCTCATACTTTGTTTCATACTCTTTAACTTCTTCCTCAGCCTTCTCTTTTTCTGATGTAACCTAAATTTTTGGGAAAAAAACAGAGAGGTAATGTAAATTAAGTTGATGGTAAATACATCCATAGTAAAGTTTTAAATGCCAAGCCCTCTCAACTAACACTGCTGACTAAGATGCCACAAGAAAGGACATCCTTAAAATGTGCACACATAGTGCATCCTGTACATCACCAGTATTTAAAACAATAAGCTTTTAAACTTTAACAGGTCCTTTATCCCAGCCAGCATTTGTTACCATGAAGAACTCTCATACTCTGGTCATCTTCGCTAGCCTAGAGTTTGGTCTGTATTTCAAAATCAATGTCCAGTTACAACAAATGGTAATGTGGACTTAGTGATGTTATTTACCCTCTTTAGTTTTATGATTTAGTGCTGTTATTTACCCTCTCTAATCTCTGGTTTAGTGATGTTATTTACCCTCTTTAGTTCTCTGGTTTAGTGATGTTATTTACCCTCTCTAGTCTATGGTTTAGTGATGTTATTTACCCTCTTTAGTTTTATGATGTAGTGATGTTATTTATCCACTCCACTTTGGTGTAGTGATGTTATTTACCCTCTCTAGCCTCTGGTTTATTGATGTTATTAACCCTCTTTAGTTCTCTGACTTAGTGATGTTATTTACCCTCTCTAGTTCTCTTAGTGATGTTATTTAGTACCCTCTTCAGTTTCTGGTTTAGTGATGTTATTTAGCCTCTGTAATCTCTGGTTTAGTGATGTTATTTACCATCTCTAGTGTCTGGTTTAGTGATGTTATTTAGCCTCTCTAATCTCTGGTTTAGTGATGTTATTTAGCCTCTCTAATCTCTGGTTTAGTGATGTTATTTACCTTCTTTAATCTTTGGTTTAGTGATGTTATTTAGTACCCTCTCTAGTTTCTGGTTTAGTGATGTTATTTACCCTCTCTAATCTCTGGTTTAGTGATGTTATTTACCCTCTCTTGTGTCTGGTTTAGTGATGTTTTTTACCCTCTCTAATCTCTGGTTTAGTGATGTTATTTAGCCTCTCTAGTTCTCTGATTTAGTGATGTTATTTACCCTCTCTAATCTCTGGTTTAGTGATGTTATTTACCCTCTCTAGTGTCTGGTTTAGTGATGTTATATACCCTCTCTAATCTCTGATTTAGTGATGTTATTTAGCACCCTCTCTAGTCTGGTTTAGTGATGTTATTTAGCCTCTCTAATCTCTGATTTAGTGATGTTATTTCCTGTTGGTACTGTTGTAGACTTGTTTCATCTGGTCTCTGTTGTAGAAGACTTCTGACTTCAAGAAGCTGGGCCTGCAGACTAAGGGAATGGTTCTTCTCTTCATCAACAATACATTTCTGGTGCTCATTTATATACCTTAAGGCCTGGTTGTGCTTTATAGCATGTTGAACTGGAAAGAAATGAAAAAATATATCTAATAAAAATTTCATGTGCAATAGGTCCAACAAACCGAAACTTTGACAAAGACACCCAAATATATAATATCATATATAAGGCCTGTAGATTGAAAGGTTGTAAATTTGCTACTTTAAGGACACCAGTGTTTTGATGTGTGTCCTCAACAGAACAACCAACAGCTTTAGTAACAGTTTGGACTGAATTTAATGTATTTCTCTAATTGTAATGAGCTGACAATTAATGGAAGCAAATATTTTGAATTGTATACCATTTTAAAAGCCTGGAGATTTTTAGATAAAACCAAACAGAAACAATGAAACAGAAAAGGTGCCAGGGATATGCCATATAAATAGAGGCTTTTAACTGTGTTCTAATATTGACAGATTTGTAGAATTTTACCTATCAAGTACCTAGATCGACCCACAAATCAGATGAATATTGACACATTGTTACAGACTGATGAAATCTACAAAAGAGGTGTTATGTGTTATGGCTACTTGGAGATGTATGTATATACTGAAAAAGGATTTTAATCTACATAAACCTGCTAATTCTCACATCTACCCTAAATAATTCTCAGATGGGCATTGCAGCATTTGAGCTAACTTAAAACACACACCAATAATTACGGTCACACACAAACAGATAAATGCATTTTATTGACTTGCAAACGAAGCTTTTATATGTTCAAGACACACAAAGAAGACAGACAGACAAATGGCCATTGTGATTCCCAACTTTGTTTGAGGGGACATAATACTTAGGTAAAAATTGTAAATATATTGTTAATCAAAAATATCCTGTATGTACCTTGTAATTTAGCTTGTTTTCAAATGCATTGAGTTAAAACAATTAAACTGCAAAACTAACAGACATGTGTGCATGTGCATATAAATTTATTAAAACTAAAATTTAATTTACTGCAAAAACAAAGAAATTTAATAATTTGAAACTATTAATTTAAAATCATTTGAACTAATTAAAAGTTTGATGACTTCACACCTCAAAGTGTCTTTCTGTGCTTTTAAAGTAAAACATTTAAAATCCCAATCACAAAAACCAAGGAACAGCATCAAAGAGCTATAGTGTATTGTAACAAAGCATTAAACCTATGGAAAGACAAACACTAATGATATCCTGGGCTGATATATAGCTATATTGTTATTTACCACCTACTCTACAACAAGTTCCAAACAGCCTATAAAACTCAAGTGTCTGTATAAGGCATTCCAAGATACCATCTAGCCAGTAGGTCAATTTGGCTTCAATGTATGAAGGATTTATAAAGTTGGGACAGTTTTTACAGACCCATTAATTTTCAATGATATTTCACCAACATTAAAAAACGAGACAAATGATCACAACAACCTTGTAGAACACTTAATGGAATAAAAGTGGTAAGTATATAGATATATTTAAAGCCTTTGTCATAAAATTATTTTAGATACCAATGTTATTATGAAGCAAGTATTTCTGATCGTAAAATTAAAACATCCCTCTCATTTTCTATTTTTTTAAACCTAGATGTACTGAAATTTTGTTCTTTAGCCTCTGTGATTCTGAAGAAAATGGATAATTGTAAAAAAATTTCGCACATTTTTGTAAAATTGGTCAAATTTCTCTAAACATGAAAACAAAACTAGAGGTACTGTGAATGAGTTCAAAAAATTAAACCATGGCAGTGTCAAGGTTCTGTTTGGGAAACCCCAAATATCTGTCCAATCGAAATGAAAAATAGGAGGTACACAGTGGCACTATATATGTAACAAGAGGCCCAAGGGCATAGAATCACTCTTCTGATAAATTGTACAACTCTGTCACTGTGACCAACTTTTGGGTAAATGTATCCCAAGGCCCCAAGACAAACCTACCATCTGACAAGATCTGATGATCCTAGGCCTCTATCCATGCTAACAAAAACAATGAAATTCAGAAAGTGGGTGTCTGTTCTTACCTTTGATTTGATTTAAAGACATCAACTATTTACAATTATTTTATGATATAACTGTTACAATGAGCTGAAAAATTTAGAAAGTAGGTAACTGTGACCTTTTATTTTAGTTGATACACCTCTAGAGCCAAAGATGCATCAATTGACAAATTCTGATGATTCTAAGGCACTAAGTATCCCAAATATTGAAATAAAAACTATGAAATTCCAAATGTAGGTCACTATGACTACTTACTGACACACTATGAGGACCCAATATGCATCAACTGAAAAAGTTTAATGACTCTAAACCTTTTACTTATTCTAATTATTGAGAGAAAAGTGTAAAATTTCTAAAAATAAGTAACTGTGACCTACTTTTAAAAAGACCCACTGTGTGAACCCAAGATGCACCAACTGAAAAAAGTTTTATGATTCTAAGCCTAAATATTTAGATAAAGCCTAGGAATTTCAAAAGTTGGACATTGTGACTTACTTTCTGGTTAACACACTCTGAAGACCCAGAATGCATCAACTAGCAAAGTTTGATGATTCTGAGCCTCTTATTATCCAAAATATTTAAGATATAGCCATGAAATTCCAAAAGTAGGTCAAGATGACTTACTTTTTAGTTGAAACACTCGGGGGCCTCAAGAGGCATCAAATGACAAAGTCTGATGATCCTAGGCTTCACAGTGTCCAAATATGCATCTAAAACAATTTGAAAATGAAACCTACAATATTCATAAAGTAGGTCCCTGTGACCTACATTTTCATAAATACATTCCAAGGCCCAGGTAGGTTTGATGAATCTAAATCTCTCAGTAATCAAAATAATGAACTTAAATATTTTGAAAATGATTAGCCATAACATTCAGAAAGTAGGTCATGAAGACCTATTATTTCATTGTAAAACCCTAAGATGTGTCAATGACAGATTTTAATGATCTTAGGCCTCACCTTGGCCAAGATTTGCATCTAAAACAATTTGAGAATGAAAAGCTTCAAAATTCAAAAAGTAGGTCACTGTGGCCTACTTTAGGGGTCAACATGTCTTGAGATCCTAAGATGCATCAACTGACAAGACTGATGATCCTGGTCCTAATAGTGGGCATATTATCAAAATTTTAACAAAATATTATTTTAGATCAACTTTGAAGTGACCGTGAGATCAGACCTTTGACCAAGGGTGATGCCTTGAACAATTTTTAATCTACAACATATCCTAATTCTTATGTATAAGTTTGGTAATAGTTTGGTGATAATCTATTTGGTGGTTCTTGAGAAGAAATTTTTTTAGCAACCACTACTTCTGTTTGTATTTTCATAATTATCTCCCCTTGTTAAAAGGTCACATACCTGTTTTTAGTATAAATGAAAGCCCTTGGGCCAAGGATACTCTGTGCCAAAATTGATAAAAATTGGCCAAGGGGATTTTGAGATATAGCCCACATTCCAATAAAGTGATGCACACTGTACCAATGGCCATAGCATATTGATTGTATGTTGTTTTACGTCCCATTTGAGAATTTTTCACTCATATAGAGATGAAACCATATACAGTGAAAGGTTTCAGATTGAGACCTTTTCTTGGCACTCAGAGCCATTGAGCAGTGAGGGATCTTTATTGTATCAAGCCTACCATGAAACGAGGCCTCATTTTTTAAGGTCTTATCGCTTTAAGGCCCATGACTTTCACTTCAGATGCCAGGCACTTAGACTAGGGACAGTAACTACAGTAAAACTTGTTTAGTACGAACACGGCTATAGTGAATTTGTGGATATGACAAAGTTTTTTTGGATCCCCGGAAAAATTCTCAACAAATCCTTGTAAAATTTTACGGTTATAATGAACACGGATGTAATGAATTTACAGATATAACGAATTGATTTTGTATCCCGTAGAAGTTGAAAATAACGCAACATACATCTTTTATAACAAATTTTTAAAGTATTGAATTGACATTATTTTTCACAAGTTTATTTATGTTTGAAATTAAGTTTATTTCAATTTTTTAATTCTCGGAGAATTTCTATTGTATGTAATACATGTACTTTGATGAAAGAAGGCGGCAGTCATGCTTAAGGAGGTTGGATCCTGCCATCAAAAGTAATGAGAATTTTTTATCAAGTATATTTTTAGAATTTATACACATAGCTTTATTAAAAATCAAAACAAAAAATGGGGGTCAATGCGCTTCTTTTGGCGCTACAGAGCATTTAGTTTGACCTTTTTGCACTGTAAATACGTCTTACACAGAAATCAATTTTGAAAGTTTTTCCTTCAATATTTTTTGTTCAAATAAATTATGGTGAACAAACACAGTCTTATTTCATCTTAAATAGACACATTAAAATTTGTAACAACGAAGAAATTTTCGAATTACTCCGCATGTTCAATTATTTGACCTTTTTGCACTCAAACATTTTCATTTTTCTGGCATTAAAATTTAACAAGCAGAAAAATCATTTGAAAGTAATGACATTTTACAGAATTTAAGAAGAATGATTAAAAGTATCGTATATATTCAGAAAAGAGAATTAAAAGTGGGGGTCTGTGATGTTAATTTTTAGATATTACTAAAACAGTGTTAATTTTAAGCTTAAATTAGGGCTATTTTTTTCTGCATTTCCACAATATATTTGCTATATTTATCAAATATGATGATAGAATTCATGACAGTTTATTTAATACAAAATTTAGGAGCAGTATAAAACAGTCCACTGCACAAAATAACTATATGTGCAGACTGCATGTAAAAATAGGAATTCAAACTTAACATACTTTAAATACTTCGAAAGAGAAAAAATGATCATTTTCTTCCAAAAAACCTTCCGCCACAAAATATAGTTCCTCACTTAATGCTTTTGGTATGGAATTTAATCATGGAGTTTTAACTGAATATAGTTAAATTGGCATTGTAGAATCCAAATATATTGTAAGTATTAAAACATTATGCAGAATTTTTGAAATATAGGTTAAGATAAGAATCTGCTCAAAAGCTCAGGAGCGAACCTCGTTAAAGAAAAATGTGTATTGCAAATTCGCTACATATAATTCA